TACAACCTATTGGGGGCAAAATTCCTGCCTTTAATATCGGCTGCCACCCAAACTTCTAGATCTCATTAGAGAAGAATTTCTGAATTGACAGGTCAGAGTGGAGTAATATGTGGTGAGTGAAAAGACCAGTGTGATACATTAATAACGTGTCAGCTTAAAGAGCTGCTCAGCTGAATGCTCCCCTGATGTGGCTTAAGTATTTTAGATGAGCTTCTGCCATGCTAGAGGAATGATCTTTTTAACCCTAACCCTTTTTTCCACAAATCTAAACCAATTTGATTGATGAATGCATTCAAATACATCCATTTTCAAACTATCCACTAGGTTAGTGTGTCCCTTTGCTTTTGTTAATGACCAAATACTTTAATCTACTCTCATTCCCTTTAGTCTCACTTGTACATGTGTATTCTGCCTATTAGCAAGTGTTAACATTCTAACACGCACAACTGATCAGTTCCCTCCCTCTGTGACAGAACACAGTCAACGTGAGGTAGACATGATCATTGTTAGCATGTTAGCATTGCTCTAGACTCCCTCTTCTGTGTCTAAGTTTGCATTGTTTGAGTGTGTAACGCTGGACACTTCTCACACTCAACTACCGCCATCTTGGCTACGTAACAGAATTTGCTTGACCAACTGATATTGCAGTTGTTTAGGTAAACACAGCTAACTAGCTAACTAGCTAACCGTGGCGATTGTCACTTCTGGTTAGGAATCACAGGAGCCATGTGTGATAGACAACATGGCTGTGTACTCAGAAAAGTGGCTAAATTGAATAAAAACAGAAGTTAGTCTTCATGTCTCTATTGCTATTTTCTTTAAATGATTACAAAATCCAATATCATATTCGGATCTTCTGGAAATGACGCTTTGCACATTTTTGTATGACACCTGTGGTTACAACCCAGTCTCACGGCATTTCGTGTTATTAGTCACGAAATTAATTTAATCTATTGATTCGTGTTCACCAACACGATTTTCACCTTTTTTTCGTGTCACACAGAACGATTTTAAATGCAATACGTATTTCTATTGGTAGTATGTTTCGTGCCTGCAACACGTCTTTTTGTCCGGTCGGGTCTTGGAAGACCAGAAGCTGTGTGGTTCATAAAAACATGTTCTTACTCAATATCTTACCCTAAGCCTAACCCTATCCCTTTTATTTTAAATTGTATAATGTCTGAGTTTTTTTGCCGTCAGTGAGGAAAAGAAATGTCTCAGAGCCTCAGAATACTGACATCTGTATTTTATGTCATCTTTTTTTCCTTCTAATTTGTTATTATTTGGTGCAGGCACGAAACATACTACCAATAGAAATACATTGCTTCTAAAATCGTTCTGTGTCAGAATACTTAAATCTGTATTTTTTTAAATGTCTTTTTCCTTCTAATTTGTTATTATTTACATTGCTTTTAAAATCGTTCTGTGTGACACGAAAAAAATGGCGAAATCGTGTTGGTGAACACGAATCAATAGATTAATTTCGTGACTATAACACGAAATGCCGTGAGACTGTGTTGGTGGTTAAAGTGGCAGTTTAATTCCAAAGCGATTATGGCTTAACTTGTCCCTTCTGCTGCTTCTTTTTCCCTCTGCTGCATCTGCTCTCCTGAGTTATTATCCTTATTTCAAAATAAATAAGGCTAAAACTAGTATTTACTCCATAGTGTCCCCAGGAAGTGAGTCAGACAGTAGCTAATGCAGAGTCAGGCCGGGTGGCACGGTGTTGCGGGGTGTCACAGTGTGGTTTGTGGCCGTTTTAAACCATGTGACAGTATGAATAAAGCATGATGCGGCGGGCAGCAGGGTGGGCAGGGACTGACAAGGGAACAAGCTCACCCAGTGTTTTGGTGACGGCAGACAAGTCAAACCCCTTAAAGTTTAATGGGGGCCACGCCGCAGAGAGGAGTGTATAAGCGTGTGTGTGTGTGTGTGTGTGTGTGTGTGTGGATCCTGTGGTTTCACTGAGGCTGGAAGCTGCCATACACAAGCCTTTAAACAGTGGGACGTAATCGTGATGCTAATCGAGTCAACAGCCTACCTCGTGTGTGATGGATCAGGGTCACACTGAACTAGTGGGAAGGGAATAGGACCGATGAGCCTTTTTCTTTGTGGCCAATGAGAGTTGTGGTTGAATCCCCGTGCTTTGGAGCTGCTGACCTCCCATAATCCTGTGGTTTCATGCTCCGTGTTCCCCTTTGCTTCTTATCCATCTCAATAGACCTCCAGACGTCCCACATTCGTCCCTCTGTGGCTGCTTACAATGTCTCCTTCTTTTCTTGTTTATGCTCGTGTTTATTTTCTTCTTTTTCTTCTATTTGTCCTGCTATTTCATCGTCTTTTCCTCCAGGCATTAGGCTGATCTGAAGCCATCACTGATCTGAAACTCCACCATGTTTTGATTTGATAAAGGTTTATCTACTTTGCTGGTAAACGTCAACCCATGATGCTGATTTTGTTTAGTCTATTACCTCCAGCTTTACAGATTCAAGTATTTGTTACAAGCCAAAAGAAGCAATACAGATTAATGCTTCAGCCACAAAACTGTTGTAGACAATGAGCACTGTGGACACTCGGCTCTTCAGGATGAGTTTGGATTATCAGTATCACCACTGTGCTTATTAAAAGAATATCCTAAAACGTATATTAAAACAACCAATTTGCTGCATTGAATGTTCTTAGATGATGTAATTCCAGCTAGATAATGTTTGTTTTAATCAACTTAACAAGGACATTTAAAAAAAAAAAAAAAAGGGATATTCAAATGCTAAATGGTCATACTGAACTTATCCACACAACTTTCACTGCCTTGGATTTATTTGTATTTGACAGTACCGTCAAATATCTCCAGGATAAACTGGTCATGAAAGGTTGTCTTAGAAAGTGTTAGAAACTCAGTGTTTTCCCTTCAAGGGGACCTATCATGCAAAATGCACTTGTGTATGTCTTTTATACATGAATATGTGTCCCCGGTGTTCCAGGGAACTCACCAAGTGTCAGAAAACACAACCCTCTCTCTTTTCCTCCATACCCAAATCTCTAAAAACGGGGCTGCAACGGATCTGATACAGACTGATACAGATTTGAAAATTCTCTGACGTCAGGAACGAGGAGCTCCGCCTATATGGCCAACTCTCCACCTATCAGGGAAATGGGGGGTTGGGCCACGGCCGGCCATTGCCGCTCGAAAGCGCTGGAGACGCTGTAGTACATATGCCAGGCCTGTAAGTGGCGCTGTAGTCTGCCACAAAAGCAGCGAAGAAGACTTCCCGCGCATGGTTGCCCTTCTGTTTATTCTCCGCTGTGGCTCTTTTTCTCCCTCCCCGAGGCAAGCGTTTGCTCCCGCTGCAATGCAATCCCTCCCCGAGGCAAGCACTGTAATTCTCTCCGGTTAGTCCACCAGCAGATGACAAACACCCACCTCTCCGCCTCTTCCAAGGAACAAGGGGACCGTGCGGCAGAGTTTCAGTTAGATTTTTTTTCGCCGGTCAAGATGTCCGTTAAAGTTTAAATCTTCCGGACAAAATTAGAAAAGTGCCGGTCAAAGGTCTTCTTTGTTATTTATTGAGCTTTAAAACAAATGAATAACGACTCTATATAATCATATAAGAATAAAACACGGAGGACGGAGATCTCTGTTTCTCCCCCTCTTCTGACAGCCCAGCAGCTGATCTCAAAGCACGCTCCCCTCTCCTGCAGGGGGGCGTGGTCAGCTGCTGCTCATTTGCATTAAAGCTAGTCACAGAATCAGCCCCTTGCAAAAACAGGGCTGGAAAGAGCAAATAGAGCGAAATGAGGCATGGCTCAAATGCATGATCTGTTTGGTATTTTGAAAAAAGAAACGTATAAATAATAAATATACCTTATATAGGTATGGCCCTACAATATATTATTAAAATATAGCATGATAGGTCCACTTTAAGACATACGATTAAGTTGCCTAAACTTAAACACATCTTCATCAAAAAGAGACAGATCTAAAGATGAAGTGAAATTACTTTTTGAAGACTCAAACAATGTTACCTACTTTGCCGGATCAGAAAAAAACGTTGACATCCTGTGCTCTTTCACCAATGACAATGCAATACAAGGTCGTCGTGGACAAGGTACTCTTTACCAAAGTGAAAATAGTAAAACCACAGTGTAGAGAATACTCTGTAGGGAGGAAAAGTCCTGCATTAAAAGTTTTACTTAAGCAAAAGTTTTCAAATATTAACATCAGTTTGTACTTTAAGCACATTTACGAAAAGTAAAAGTACTCAATATGCAGACTGTCTAATTTCACTGTAAAACATACTGTATATAGCTGGTAAAGGTGAATCTTTGAGTGTTTTGTTATCTTCTGTGATATGTTTGGTATTTTAAATCATGGTAGTGAATCAGAGCAAAGTGTATAAAAGTTTTGAGTGTACCATGTGTATGTGTTCGAGTGTAGTTGTGTGTATGTGTCTCAGGCCCCATTGCCCATAAGGGATGGTCGAGTCCCGTCTATCAAATCCAGTGTGTCAGGGAGCAAATTGGAAATGCCAATTTCACTTTACACTGCCCCGCATCTTATCTCCCCCTCGCCCTCATCCCAGCACTTAGCTCATGCGTAAATGAATACGGTCCTCTCACACGTCTACCTCCGTCTGATTTCACTCTGCTCCCACCTCTCTGACCACTTCTCCTCCTCATCCTCCCCTTCTTCTTCTTCTTCTTCTTCTTCATCTTCTTCTCCCCCTCCATCCCACCTCATCTCCTCACTTCCCATTCCTGTCTACATTCTCCCATGCCCATTCAGCTGTAACCCATCTGTTTTTCTCTGTGTGTATTTATGAAATATGTCTGTTTTTTTTGGTGAATATGGATTTATGCATGCTCGGTCTGTATCGCCGCCTGCAATGAACAAGCCGGGGAGAATCACTATGCAAATGAAATGATATCTCATATTCTAGAATTTGCATTGAATCCATTATAAATCAGCAATTTCTCACACTGGTCTTCTCTGTCTGTCTCAGTATGACTACGAGGGCGGGGACATCGGTGACCTCCCCGTCGACCTCTCCGTGGTGTGGAATGGGAACTTCGTCATTGACAACCCCTCCAACATTCAAGGTACCACTTTTTTTTTTATCTCCGTTTTTTTACCAAGCTGGAGCTTTGTTGGTTGTCCAAAAAAAGGTTTAATCGATACCGCTTGTTTATCCGTCTGTAATGATTTTCTGTGAAGCAAAAATGCCGTGTCCACTTTTTCTGCAATTTCATTTTTGACAGCCATCGGGGAGAAAAGTGAAAGTGTACCATCCGTATTCTTGTCTCGGGATAAAAAAAAAGACAGAGGGAGTGATTGATGGACGGAGAGGATAACAAACAAACATCCAACGGAGAAATTAACAGGGATGGATGTAAGAGGGGAAGATAAACAAATGGCAAAACCAATAAGCAGAAGGGAAAATGGATGGAGGGGAAGAGCGATGGGTGGATGACAGGTTGATAAATGTGGCGTGTAATGGTGGGGACTAGATGAGAATAAAGGGATTGACAAAGAAAAACAGAAAGCGACATGGAGGGATGGCATTTATTAGTTTTAATCGCTATCTGTGCATGAAATGGAAGACAATTACCAATTCTAAATTCTTTATCAAGTGTAATATATTGGGTGGTGGAGGCTAATAGTTTTAGACGTCCCATTACACAAGTTAATGTAAGTCTTGCTCTCAAGTATTTTGCTTGCCTATAGTAGATTAACTAACATTTTCCAATGTATTCTTTCTCTATTATTCACCATAAGTTTCACTTTTTAGATCAGACATGTTCACACTTTTATATCACATCTTTCTATCTGACATCATTGTAATACATGTCAAACGTGCAGTTCTTTTTGAAGATTGCTTGGATTTATAGTTACTAATCGGTCACAACCTAATTCTCCTGCCTGTGTTATTTTGTTTATAATAATAATAATAATAATAATTTTTGATGTGATGAAAGATGGGGATTAAACGTCATGAGCACATGCTGAGAAATACTACATTTGCCACAACACAATGAATAATCACATTTCTGTGCAATCAATGGATCCTGTCATCTTAAAAAATTGATTTGATGCCTTTTCCTAATCTGACTGACTAATACCAGCCTATATCTGATGACACAATCCAATTAGTACCATCATTGCCATTAACTTTGTAAGTTGTAATATTGCATAATGGAGCATTTTAGCCAACACACATGTATAAACTGAGTGTGTATCTACTATTTACTACTGTTAATACTTATATTATTGGTAAAATTACAATTTTGCAGTTGCTTGCTGAATGAAATCAAGGTTAGTTTAGGTTGTTTCAGTCAAAATTGTCCACCCTACAATGAAAGGGAACATAGAAGGTTGCTTTCCAACTCAATGTGCCCTGTTTGATTTATCTACGCTGGTATGAAAATAGTTATTCCAACTTGAACTTCAAACAACCCAACATAGATTGCCCAGGGTCTCAGTCTGTTTTCAAGTAAACCGTATAAACTACTAAACTTGTTTTCTTCCGCTGAACCATGTGGTGCTGATGATGAAGGCTTACAGTCAACCAAACTGTTTCATTTAGAAATCATGTCAGTCTATATTTCTTTATCATTGACATTCATTTTCCCCAGAGGATGAATCCGATTGACTTTGATGATCCCATGAACTTTCAGACGGTCCCATCATAAGGTCAATGTTTGTACATTTGTTCTAAGTCAATTAACAATTAGCTAAAATAAATGTATGACCTGCCACTGTAAAAAATGTTTTACAACATCTTATAAATATCTGCGTGATCTTAGCCATCACCTAAAATAAAAAAAACATAACATTTACTAAATATCTCAATAAACCATTTGTACCATTGGTTGCCATGAACATTTAGTTCAAATATTCCTGATTTCCTGAGGGTGAATCCTATTGACTTTAATGATCCCATGGACTTTCAGATGGTCCCATCATAAGGTCAATATATTTTAACTTTCAATAAGTTATTGATTATATGTCAAACAACAATCAGATTAAAGAAAGTTATGATTTACCACTGATAAATGTTTAATAATGGCTTTAAATAAATCACAACGGAATCTTAGAAATCTTTTCAAATGACAAGAAATGTACTTAATGTCTCTATAAAGCATTGGTACCATTGGTTGCCATGGCATTTTGTTCAGACATACATGTTCACCAGAGAATGGTCCCATTTGAAGGTCAAGGGCTTTTATCTTTGCAAAAATAAAATACATGTACACTGCAGACTATTTTACATCTCCAAGATCAGTAGTGTGAAGCAATAACAATAGAAAAAGCAGGATCTTAGCTATCTTTGAATACAACTCATATCAGAGATGTTGACATCTGTCGAGGCTCCACAGTGAGATTTTCCTGCTGAGTTATCCAGCTAACTCCTGAAACACACCCCAGGGATGTGTGCGACAGCAAAGAGAGTTTGGGAGTGTGAAATCCAATGATCTCAGTGTGTGTTCCTGTTATTGGGACTTTGGGTAAGCACAGCAGACCTCTCTCCTCGACTTTCTTGGTGGCATGCATAGAATGTATGCAGCACTCTAAGCCAGTGGTGTGCTCCTCATAACAAGACAAAGACAGAATAAACTGAAACAGCTGGCGAGGTTATGGATGAGTAATTTGTTTGAATCAACAATGCTTTCAACCCCCATAGATCTATTCAAGTTATTGTGCTAAAGCCTCATAGAATACCTATTATAAAACTGCATTATAAAACCTCATACAAATCTCATAAAGGCCTTCTCCTCCTTTTTCCTCTCCATCCTCTATTAATCCCTCTCAGCTCCGTGCCCGTCTTTTTCTCTTATTATCGTATAAGAGCGTATTATCCGTCTGAGGCAGAGGCTGGCCCGGCTTTGCCCTGGTGTAAAGTGGAGATGTTAATGTTAATTAAATCATTCATTTGGTTCAGATTAATTAGCGCCGCGCTACTTTTAAGCCGAGCCGTGGCTAATCAGATTACGCCCGAGCGGAGGGCCGAGGCGGGCAGATGGATACGGAAGAAGCTCGCTTTGAAGTCCGGCCGCCGTCTGTCTGCAGAGGAGGAGGAGAACCCTTTCTCTTGCTGTTTTTCCACTTCAGTTCAATTTAAATCTGTTTAACTAGTGTGACTGCAAACACATCTTCGGCCTTGTTATATCAACTGAGGTAATTAAAATAGAAATGAACAGATCAGAAAAAAAAAAGCTTAGAATAACTATCCATTTACCTTGACTTTTTCTCTCATTCCTGTCTTGCTCTCCTTGTTTTGAATTTTGTAGGAATCAGAAATCTTTTATTAATCCCACAGTGGGGAAATTATTGTTTAAAGGGGCCCTAATATGCTCATTTTCAGGTTCATATTTGTATATTGTGCCGCTACTGTGACATGTTAACATGCTATAATGATCAAAAAGCTCTTTATTTTTTTCATATTGCCTGTGCTGCAGCACCTCTTTTCACCCTCTGTCTGAAACCAGAGCCCAGTCTGCTCTGATTGTGATTGGTCAACCGCTTAGAGACGACCTGCCACTTAGTAAATCACTTACAGTGTGATAGCCAATAAGATAAGATAAATGTTTTAGCCAATAAAAGGACGAGTGTTACATAATGATGTCACTATGTTACTAAGTAAACAAAGTAGTGTATGGGAGAGAAACTCCCTCTGGACGGAACACAGGGATTTTAGACTTTGCAGACCATTTAAATGCACAACAACCTATAGAACACACTACAGGGAAGGGGAAACCCAAAAAGGATAATAGCGCCTCTTTAACAGGGGTAGTGCAGATAAAAAGACAAATACAATATATAGGATAAAGCTAATAAATAATTCTAGCACAAGTTCATAAAATCCAATAAGTACACATACATAGTAAGAAGGAATTTAAATTGGTAGCAGTATTATGAAATACATAAACATAAATTGCTTCTTTCTCTCCTCAAATAGTTTCTGTTTCCTCTCTGTTCCTCTCATTGTCTGGCCTCGCGGGCCCACACCAGCTTTACATTCATAACTATTTGTGTTGCTGTTTTGTTAACAAGCACAGCTAAAATGTATCTCCCCCCCCCCCGCCCGCCTTTCATCTCCCGCTCGTCTCTCGTCTCAGGTGTTTAAGGTGTTTAATTATGTATTTATTTATTACTTTTAATGACTTTTTCCACTCTGCAGAGTTAAGGGAATGCTTTTATTCTTCTTCGACACAACAGATTATCAATTCCCTATTGGCGTTAGAAGACATTACCTGTTGAATTAATTTCTTTAATATCCCTCTAGGTTTCTTGTTCCTTTTTTTACTTCTACTTATCCATGACAACAGATATTTTCTCATCGTCACAGCTTGGTAGTGGTAATATTTCTTCACTGTAGGTGTTTTAACATTCATTTATGCAGTCCCCTCTCAGCTTCAAGACACAAATTCTTGATTACTTTTTTTCGTGCCAGCCTTGCTTTTAATTCAAATTAAGTAACTTACATAACTTTCTGTTTACCAGAATAATATTTTTCAAGCACTATACGGAAGGTTACACACAATAGAGCAACCCTAATACATTTTTATATACAACACCAAGCAAAACAATGTACTCTAGCTTGGTGTAGAAAATAAAGTGAAAATAATTTTCTTTGAAAAGTTAAAACATAGGCACAGCTGACTTGTTAAAGCTTAACTTAACCGATCAGAGCAGACTGGGCTCTGGTTTCAGACAGAGGGTGAAAAGGCAGTATTAGAAAAATAAAGAGCTTTTTGAACATTAAAGCACGTAAACATGTCATAGTATAATACAAATATGAACCTTAAAGGCCCTGACACACCAAACTGACACCAAATAACACGTCCCGACGGACCCGACTGTTGTGTCACTCACGTCTCCTGCGTTTGGCCAAAAAGTCGCACTGGAACACACCGCAAAGACTTCAGGCGACGGCCAAGTAGCACGTACGCACTGCGCATGCATGAGTCGCAATAACTCTCCTTACCAGCAGGCGGCGGTAGTGTGTATTCGTCATTCAAAAGAGGCAACCGGAAGACAGACTGCGTGATACAAACAACAAATAGCTACATGCTACAGCTCAAGCCAAGCAGCACAGGGATGAACTATAATAATATAATATGTTAACAGTATTGGTGCAGTGCCTTTTCAGTGGGGCAAGATAAAGCAAATATGTGTGCCTATCCTGCTATTTGTGTTTATTCTTCTAATCACAAAGCGTTGAAAAAAAAAATGTGGCCTACATAAACAGTTGCAGCCCTAGCATTATTATTGGTTTAACTACTAACAGTATATTTTAAAAACATTTTAAAATGACCATCTTGAACAGCTACAACATTAAAATACTTCTAGGCAGATTGTGGACAGTAACAAAGTACATTTACTTAAGTACTGTACTGCTCCACTCCCATTCAGGCAAATAGTGTTTCGCTAAGCTGAACAGCCAATCAGAGTGATTTCTTTTGCCGACAGCCTCCGCTGCCGATTCAACAAGGTGAATCGGCAGCGGAAGGTGTCGGCACGGCCGAAAAGACAAGACGGTGCGGGACACACCAATCTGAGTAGAGCGACAGGACGCTCAACGACGGCCAGACATCTATCGACGGCTGAAATCGGCTTGGTGTGTCAGGGCCTTACGGGCCGTCTCCACGGCAGCGTTAAAAAATCTTGAAACGCTTCTGCCCATTCACTTTGAATGGGGTGACGTCACTTTTTTTCGCTTTCGCCGAAATGCATTGTGGGCAGGCGAGCGGAGATTCTCAGGATTTTCAAGATCCAAAGTTGAACAATGTTCAACTTTTGAGGCTGAGGTGGAAGCGTCAGCCAATCAAATCCCGTGTACGCAAATCTGACAGTTCAAGCTCTAGCCAATCAAACGGCGTGTATGCTGGGAGAGACATACCGCAGGTCATTTCCTCATATTCCAAAAAATGGAGGAGAAATTAGCGGTAGCGAATCAATCACCCGGTGCTTTATGACCAGACCTACCGGGATATAAACCGGAGGAGCCAGGCATGGAGGGAGGTGGCAGAGACAGTGGTATGTTTTCGCCTGTTTTGGGGAGTTTATATCCAGTTTACTTCGGGCTTTTTTGCTTCGTATGTCGCGGGCGGGAGATTCATGTGATTGGTTGCTCGCAAAAAATCCTCAAGCTTCAGATACGCCCACCTCCAAGATTTTTTTAACGCTGCCGTGGAGACGGCCCGTTACAATGAGCATAATAGGGCGCCTATAAAATCGCAACAAATCAATTTCTAAAATAATGGCTAAAAAAGAAACAAAAGTTAAAACATGATACAGCTTTTGCACTGGACATCTGGAAAACTGGTCAACATGTATCAATCATGTGCAATTATAGCAGCTTAACATTTCATTTAAAGGTCCCATGTCATGGCCATTTCTACTGATCACAATTCCATTGTTGAGGTCTACTAGAATAGATTTATACTGTGCTATTTTCCAAACTCACATTGGTTTCTCATACAGCATCTCTGTATAGTATGTGTATTCACCGGTATTCACTCTCTGTCCTAAACGGCTTGTTGGAGCTCCTGCCCCCCCTCCCTGTGAGCCCAGTGTGCTCTGATTGGTCACGCGACTGTGAGGAGCAGACAGGGCTTCCGTGTCGGCAATACAGATACAGCGAGAACAAGTGAAACTCATCCTGAGCACACACAAACACTCACAGCCGAAGTAAAAACAATAAGTGTGCCTTGATATTGAGTAAGAAAAAGGTTTATAACGCTGTGAGCATGGGTCTGCGGAGAGCATTTCTCCACGATCCCGCGATTTAACAGTCGTGGTAGATACCTTATTTGTTTTAAACATCATAAATACACAAACAACAATGAATACTTACAGGTTGTGTACCCGAATCTCCCGCTGGTCCAAACAAAGTAGGAACAGCATCGTTCTTCAGTGCCCTACGCTGTACATATCCGGCATGAATCGCTGAAAGGTTTGGGAAGCTTTGTTTCGTGAAAGGCTGGCAGAGGGTGCGGCCATAGCTCTGGGCGTGGCTACTGGGTATCCCTACGTAGCGATACCCAGGAAGTAAATGAGAAATCTCCAATCTCCAAGGCGTTTTGGGGAGGTCTTTTCTGTGTTAGAGTTTTACTCCCTACAGGGTGTACTTTGAGGGTTTTTGACTCTGCAGACCGTTTACATGCATAAAAACCTTCATAACACACAAGGGGACGGGTAATAACCGGAAAAGCATGACATGGGACCTTTAAGTCTCAAAGAGTGCAAGCTACAGGGTAGATACATTACAAATGCACTTAAGTTAGCCACGGCTCCCCTCTGTCCTTGCAGTGCACACACAAGGAAAACAAAAAAAACACACCATTAACAAGGAAGAAGTGTGAAACCATGAGGAGAGCAACAGAGAAGGGATCCCTCCCCAAGGACAGCATAAATTGCAATATATGTTGTGTGTATGGTTTGAAAAAGTTCATACAATTCAAACATAGAAATTACAGATTCAAAAAATTACAATTTAGCAAGGTAATGTGCACTGGGAATATCTGCTGTTCCTTCAGTGAATGAGGAATGTTTGCACAACTCCAATATCTAATGTCTCTCTTCTTCTTCCTCCATTGCAGCCCACCTGTACAAGTGCAGAGCGCTGCGGAACAGCTGTGGTATGTGCCTGAAAGCCGACCCCAGGTTTGAATGTGGTTGGTGCGTCCAGGACAGGAAGTGCTCCCTCAGGCAGGAGTGTAACGGCGGAGGAACTCCACCTCCCTCTGCTGCTGGCTGAAGGTGGAGGGTGGATGCATGCCGCCTCTGGGAACAGCCGCTGCACCCACCCCAAGATCACTAAGGGTGTGTGTGTGTGTGTGTGTGTGTGTGTGTGTGTGTGTGTGTGTGTGTGTGTGTGTGTGTGTGTGTGTGTGTGGTGTGTGTGTGTGTGTGTGTGTGTGTGTGTGTGTGGTGTGTGTGTGTGTGTGTGTGTGTGTGTGTGTGTGTGTGTGTGTGTGTGTGTGTGTGTGTGTGTGTGTGTGGTGTTGTGTGTGTGTGTGTGTGTGTGTGTGTGTGTGTGTGTGTGTGTGTGTGTGTTAAACAGGCTGTGAAAGTGTGTGTATTTGCGAGGATGCTTGCGCACTTTTAGTGATTATGTTTCTGCCTAATGAGGAATGGTTGCTAGGTAGATGGAGAGAGAGTGTTGGCTACCTTTCAGACAAAACACAACATGTTCCAAATCACAGAAGAGTGGAACTTTGTAAATATGATCACATGACACAGGCAGCACTTGTAATGAGCCGGTGCTCAGAACATGCAGTTTGATGCTACATCAGCAGTTGATGGAAACCAGAATGGGCTATGACATCCTGTCCAGGGTCAAATATTATATCAGCAGAATAAAACCTATGGCCAGTGAAGTTGCCAATAAACCTATAGGCCTAATCATTGTTTTCTTGGCCAAGAGGACATATTGAGCTCATTTTCATCTTCATATTTTTATTTAGTGTCTCTACCGTGACATGTTTACATGCTTTAATGTTAAAAAATCTCTTTATTTTTCTCATGCAGCACCTATGTTCACCCTCTGTCAGAAACCAGAGCCCAGTCTGCTCTGATTGGTTAGCTGGTCGACTCTCTTATTATCGGTTAACCGCTTAGAGATGGAGCGAAAGCCAATAGAAGCAAGAGTGTTATAAGTAGTGGTGTCTCTATGTAGCAGCTCTGTTGTGATTGGTCAATGTTGAAACCAAAAATATATGCCAAATTCTGCAAATATTGAATATGTTCTCCTATTTTAGCGTAGATCTATTTGTGAATAAGCAAAAGCAAGTGTATGTTCTTACTATTTAATTTAGATTCTATGTGGTAAACATGTATTATACCCAGAGGTGGGGACTCGAGTCACATGACTTGACTTGAGTCAGACTCGAGTCGCATATTTTTTGACTTGAGACTTGCTTGACTAACATTGATAAAAGACTTGACTTGACTTTGACTTGGTATTCATGACTTGAGACTTGACTTAAGCTTGAGACAGATGACTTGAAAGGACTTGACTGTTTAAAATTAAATATTTGCGTTTGTTTTTGTAGTGAGATATTACGTTTAGTTTTTTCGAAAAACGTGATTGGGTGATTATAGCGCCGTGCGCGCAAACCTGGCAACCCACTAGACGGCAGGAGTGTCAGTTAACATGGCAGCGGCTAGCGTTACTCCAAAAATAGTGAAGTTTGGATTCAAGGATTATGTTGTCGATGACGCTAATAAGAAGAGAACAGCGGTATGCAGGGTCTGCAGCATAAAGATCAGTGACACGACCACCACAACATCCAACTTCATTCGTCACTACAAAAAAACCCACAGAGAAAGGTGCGTGAATGTGTTGTGTTAGCTAGGAAGCTAACATTAAGTTTAAACTACGTTAGACTTGGTTTCAAATCGATGAAGCATTGCAAAGAGAAGACAAAACGGTAAATGAACACTAGAACCTCCAAGGGATTCATTTTGACTAACCCCGATACTGACGGGCTGTCAGGAGAGGGAGAGAGAGAGAGAGAGGAAAAGAGATGCCTCGTTTATTTCCCCTGTGTTATCAGAAGTTACTGTAAACTGTTGAATAATGTAGTTCATCTACTTTTAGTAGTTTGTTTAAATGTTTTAATTATGTTGTTTTTGTTTGTAGAAGTGCATCATTCCTTGATTTATTGTAAAATGAATCTGAACTTTTTGATCTGTTATGATGATAAACTGAAGCAATTTCTAAATTAACCCAATTAAGTGAGTTTTAAATCGTCCTACTTAGTTTATAAGGAAATTATGAAGAGGAACAAATTAAATGATTTGAAAATGATATCTATGTAGGTGCTGACGCTGTTGGCGGTTCTAGTGTTAACAGACATTTAAATTAAATATGTGTAATGGCAAATGCCATATATGATTTTCTTACCTGGAATTCTGCCTTTTTGAACAGACTTTTTGATTGAGTCCTAGCTATATTGTCTGCAATTCTAGGGTTAATATGAATCTAATATGATTGTCATCGGTCTAAATTAGATTTCAAATGATTAACTGTGTATGTAATGAAGATCATAGTGTGGGTTAAATCCATGTTCATAACCACTGTCTTTTAACTGATTTAAATGTGGAAACTGGGCTTATTCATCAGAATTTCGTATGACTTGACTTGCTTGACTTGACCTGAGCAATGACTTGACTTGACTTGACTCTCACCACAGTGACTTGGGACTTGCTTGATACTTGTAGGTCAAGACTTGAGACTTGCTCATGACTTGCACATGTAGGACTTACTCCCACCTCTGATTATACCGCTCTGCAACTTTTGTTCTTTGCTATGGCTTCATATCAGTTTAGATTTGTAATGACTTTTATTATTGTAACAAACCAACAAAGCTACAAACAAATATGAAGCAATTATACAATGTAGATATTTGAAACCTTCTTTAGGATTGTGTTTCTCTAGTCTATAGTATCACTATTGGAAAGAAAAATAAACATTCCCATTTGGCCAAAACCCCAAGAGACTCTTAAAATCAAACTCTCTTTAATGTTCCAGTCCTCAGATATGAAACACAGAAGCAGCGAGGCTCCTTTGAGCGCCCCACCATAATCTCGTCAACTGGTGAAGTCACCTGTGGAGATCCAAAGGCTGGTAGACCTTGATAGGCCGTTGCGTCAGCTCCCCGTCCCGAAGCCCCCGTGGTCACGAAATCCCTACGTGTCCTGAACACGCTGCTCCATTTTAATGTGCCGCTATTAAGACAGGACCTTGTGCCTGCCCTTGGCACAGAAATGGTATTATTACTCAATGTTACATCAAACTGGTACTCCAGAGACAGAGGCACGCACTGGAGACGCATGTTTGCTTAGAGTCTTTTTCAAGCTGTATTTTAAGTAGCTTCATCTGTGTATTTCACTGTCACTTGATTTCAAACATTTTTCAGATATCCATTCATGTTATTTTGCTTTACTTTTTGAGTTGGTGATGTTTCATACTGCATTTTCTTTGTATTGACTTTCAGTGGGTATTATTCAAAGAAGTAGCCTTTATCATATCTAAATAATACTGTCCAAAAAATAATTTAATTTATTCCATATCAGGTACAAAATCAGTATGAGGGATGAAATATTCCAACCCAAATGAACAATTAATGAATAAGATTAATGATATAATAGTGTCATTTAAGAAAAGTACCCACTTGGTTTTATCTATTGTCATTTATTACAAGAGCAACACGTCTCATTAAATACTCTTAATTAGGTTTTTACAAATATCAGCTTAATATCACGAGAAAGTACACTTTTTCATGAAAATATTCTAGCATTTTTTAAGTCAAATCATTAATATAATGCCACGCCATTTCCTAATAGTGTTGGTTTATGGTATATGAGTGTTTACGTTTCTTACTCTTGACCTCACAGCAGGTTATGCCAATGACAAAATGTTATGTTAAAACCTTTGCTACTATACATTGGATAAAAGACTCCCCTATTGTGTGAGAGGATAACAAAATCCACATTTAGGAACAAAGCAGTGTGTTTTGCAAGACTCTGACTGTGTGTTATTGTAAGAACATAAGGACATGGGAAGGAGAAGGGGGTAAAAGAGTCATGTGTTTTCATATCAAGGTAATAGTACACGTAGAGTGGGACCGGGAATAATAACTTGAAAGACATCTGGATATAAAAGCAGACGCCTCTATTATTATTATTCATGAGTAATTTCTGCCTTGCTTAGTTTATATTTCCTTCCAGGGGTTTTTCATGTATCAGGTAGAGCAGCCATCATAATGCTTTATTCACATATGTTGACTTAATTAAAACTATTAAATTAAAAGGTAAATCAGTTATTTTAACCCCCCCTTGCTGATTATGTAATATGATGTGATAATAACAGTTCTCCATCAGATCTGATCATCTTTTGGACATATACCACCAATTGCTAGACTTTAAGCTATAAAGATGGTTAAGGTAAGCTATTAAGGTATATTTGTATCTGTGGTATACATTACTATAATGTTTTACTGTTCCTGGATACAGCCAGTGTTTGGAATATTAACATCTTGTAGGTATAACTGGTATCCACAAATGAAAAGCAACAGCGAGCCTTCAATCATATTTAAAAAAGCCTATCAAAAAGAATAATTTGATAACCATTTAGTCTCCAAACCCCTCAAATGTACTTTTGAGTAAACTATAAATATCCCAATGAAGTATCCCCATGTGTTTTGAATATTTGAGTGTGTGAGCAGTGTTCCCAAGAAAGAAAAAAAAGGCCCTTTTTTAAATTGAATTTTCCGTACTCCCAGATTGTTAAGACCCCAAACTACGTTCTGACCACATAAACAGCTTCTGGCCTTCTGTGGCTCACATTCTATCGGTTACCACTCAGCCCACAGCGGTACAACCATGTTATAGCACATATGCACATGATAAGTGAGCAGGCTAGAGGACTACTAGGATACCACTGGTATTATGTTGATGATTTGATGTGGTTAGGACCGCAATATAAAGGCCACCACAGAGCGCCCCCACAGTGCTTTACCTCCATTGGGTTCCTGCTTTATAAAACAATTGGCCTAACACAGGAGGGAAAAATATGTAAAGAATAAGAACATTAATCGGATTAGTCTAGTTCTTCTCCAAAAATTAAATAAGTCGTTTTTTTTCCTCAGCCTTCTCCGCATTGACATACATTCTATGTAAACACATTCTACTGCCGTCCTCCACAAAATGGCTTTATTGATGCCAAATGTGCTGGCTAATGTAGCCTTAATTTGGCATGAAAAATACATCAGGTGAGAAGGATACATACAATAAAATCATTCGGGATTTGTTAGAGCAAAAATCAAAACCAACAAACAAAACAGCTAAAACGGATTTCAATGTGGCACGCAGAAAGATGTGTGAATTGGTCTGAATATTACTTTTTCCCCCAATTAGCTTTAGGTTTCGCTGGTGCATCCACAAGCATTTGTCAGTTTAATCTGTTTGGCTCCTTGTGAAGAACTTAAATCCATTTTCCTTTCGCAGTTACCTCCTAAGTTTTGCTTGTCAGTGGCTGAATGCAGTTGAGTTGTATCGGATCACTATCCTCCCAGAACCGCCTGAGGCCCATTCCCAGCTTCAGGGCATTTGTACTTTACATTCCCCACAGAGTGCTGGTTATGGCTTGAATGTGGTAGTGTTTTGTCAAATCACTGCAACAGCGTCCAAAGCTGCTTGAGGTCCCATTTCCACACTGTGGCATCTGCCTGCATGCCCACACACAGTGAGTACTGGTTTATCTTGGTGCCATACTTTTATACTTCCAAGAGTTTCCGAGGTTCTATTGGAAATCCACTCTGAGATTTCACAGAACAATATCTAGGAGGTGTAGCGGTCTGGCTTCAACGATCATGTTTCATACACATAGCTTATGAATATAATATGGCAGTGTTATTGCTTACATAAGTCTCTTGTGAAAAATGTAAGGCCCCTGCGTTTGGTGGGCAGCCCTTCGTACAGTTGGTTAGCGAGGTTGCACCCAGCACTTTTCTTCTCAGTTTTTCCCACATTTTTTTAAGGGATGTCGAGAGTTCCATCTTGATCCCATTGCTTGATGGTTTGATCTGGAAGCAGTTTGAAGACAAAATGCCCAGCTATCACCACCACATGTTTCTTTTCACAAATATGGGTGTAAGCAGTGACAGATTGTCATTAGGAAGGCAAGTAAGGTAGAACATTTGCCATTGCTTTTCTGAGCATTTATTATAAACTGTAACTTACAACAACAACGCAATCTCTTTCCCAACCCTTCACAAATAGCAGCTCAATCAGTGGCTAAACACGTCAACCCAGAATGCTCCAGATACACCTCTAGCGGTCTTCTAGGTAAAAGTCATTTCTTTTTTTTACACAACATAGTTCAAGTATGTTTTCTAGGCAAGTTTGTAACCAACTTAACTTACCTAGAGTTAAGTATGACACCTAACTGTTATACGTATCTTGCAGATACCCGACATTGATTTGTGTTGTAACACGTTACACATACAGCAGTTTCCTGAGTAAAAGTCTTGCGTTTTTTGTATGTATTGTCTTAAAATATGTCACTTACAAATATGATTGGACTTTAACCCAGGAATCCGTTTTATGTTTAATACTTAATATATATAAACCAAAGTCAATGTTGAGTCATTGTAAGAGAGATTGGAATGACTTAAACAGTTAAATGATATGTGGTCTTTTCAAAACCATTCTAAATAAGTATATGCAACACATGCATAAAATACACCATGACATTTTTGCCACAGCCTGTTAAATATTGTGTTTATGGTGTGATAGTATACGTTCCCAGAGTCTTCATTGCTCCCTTTTCCGATGTTTCCCCCCTCAGAAGATGGTGGTAATCCCTTCTACCAACACTCTTCTTCCTCTGTCTGTGGCTCTGCCAGTGTTTATATCCCAGGGCTTGGTGGCTAGCTGATATTGTGTTTTGTGGTATCATAGCTTCATTCTTCCAAAAACCATCCGAAGCCCCATTTCCACACCCTGACATCTGTTGTCCATATCGTACCCTGGAGCTTAATGGCCACTCACTCTGGTCAGTGTTTACCAGCTATTGTGTTTGTGGATCCAAAGTGCCGAGGCTGTGCTGGCGCCTGAGGTTCCAACGTGAGTCAGCTTCCAAACATTCGGCAGCATTCTCCTGAGCCAGGCCGCCCTCTCTGTTTCCCTCCTGGTCTCTTATTTCAGTTTAATACAGTTACTGCGTTGTTTTGCAGTTAATTTGTAAGGTATTATTTTCCCCAACATGTTCATTGTTTCAGACTTATTATTAGATTCCTTTCTTCCTCGTGGCTACACATGGCTGATGTTGCCTGTTGGTCTTTCTGTGTGTATCCTTTAAAGCGTGATGCTGCCAAAGGTATTATGTTCGTCCTACTGGTAAAATAAATATGTAACGGAAATAATTGGTACTTGATATTTGTATTTAGTTTAAGATTAAGGTTCTAGGCGGGAGTTTAGCATCGTAAAGATAATTTTCACGGCATACAATTGTGTTTGCTAAATATGAGCTTGTTAAAGTCTCTTTTGATAGCACCACTGGGAGAAGGACTTTAGAAAGACTCTAAATCTGAGTAAAAAACAACTGTGACATGTTTCCATGCATTAATGTTCAAAAAGGTCTTTATTTTTCTTATACTGCCTGTGCTGCAGCACCTCTGTTCACCCTCTGTCTGAAACCAGAGCCCAGAAAGTGTGTTTCATGGTGATGTCATTATGTTACAGAAGTAAAGAAAGGAGTCCCATGGAGGCATTTCAGGAAGGGGGGACAGTGTGGGAGAGAAGGAACTTTGGGATTTTAGCCTTTACAGACCATTTACATGCACAAAAAACTATTATATATATATATATATATAACACACTAGAGGAAAGGGAATACCCCAACAAAGCATAATATGGTCTCTAATTCCTGTTGTCATTTTCAGTTTATCTCTTTGAGTTAAAGTCTTTAATTTGATCATTTTCATTTAGATTTTTCCAATTTCCACCTCTTTTTGTGCTTTAATTTTTAATTGTATCTCTGTGGAAAATTATACTCCATATGTTTGGCAATGCAGAAACTAAGGGTTGCAATTGCAAACCCCGGACCATCTGGTTAGCTTTTTATCAATTGCTCTTCTTCTTGTGACAACCGATGAAGTATCCTTGAGCAAGGCATTTAAGCTCCACGTTTTCCAGTGGCGCTGCTCATTAGCTAACAATAGAGCAAAGTGCAATCAAGAGGTTTCTTTTTCCGACAAATCCTTCATTCCCCAAACTAGTCAACACTTGTCAAGGTGTGTTGTTTGGTACCCTCCTTGGTATAATAATAGCAGAATGCCTCCATACTATCAGGTCTTGAGTTTACATTTCCACACTCGTGTCTGCTCAGCCAAGCAGTGCAGGAGAACAGGGCAATGGACTGATTAAACATAATTACCTCGTGATGCTTGTTAGGGATTAGGTGTGTGTGTCCGCACTGTAGTGTATGTGTGTGTGTTTGCGACATCCTCCGTCCATCAGTCACCATATTTGTTTTGTCACACCACACCTGTTCCCGTTACGCGCTATAATCTGCCCAGATAAATCACATTACGCTTTTCGGCGGCGCGGCTGAGCGTTACACTGCCACAGCCTCGCCGCTGAAGCCAAGCCGGCGTAATAACTTTCAATTAAAGCCCTCAGATGATGCCTTTGGTCGGTGCTTGTTTGATTCTGTTATTTCTTTCCCACCCTCTCTTTATCTCACTTTTTCAGTGCGTTCAAAAGCAGAGAGTGTGATTTTTCTTCATTAAAACTGAAATCACCTGTTAGGGGCAATTTGGTGTGGTGTGTGTGAATGTTGGTATGGTGTGTTGAGGTTTCTTTATAGTGTGTGTGTATGTCTGGGAACCATTTTCAACACTATGTCTCTATTTCCTTGATCTTATTGCTCTTTTGTCTCTTTTGTGTATTTGAGAAGAAGAAAATGGAAGAATCCAAATGAAAAGTTCAACATTTAAAATAAAAATTACCCAAATAATCGATATAAGCTAAATATAGGTAATGAAAATGGAAAATAAATCGAAAATGTAAAGCTTTGCATATTATCCATTAGCATTAAACTAATGGTACATTTCTGATAATAATACCTATTTACTACTGATTTCATTTGCTAAATAAAAAACATGAAATCATGAAAGGAAAATATAGGTAAAGAAAATGAAAAATATTTAAATCAATATGTAACATTTCAAAGCTTTGCATACTCAGTGAATGACATAGCATTTGTTTTGTATCAATCATTTCCTCCATCTCCCTCTTGTTGTTCCAGTTGTTCCCTGAGACGGGGCCTCGCCAAGGGGGCACCCGACTGACCATCCTGGGGGAGAACCTGGGTCTGCAGTTCAGAGACATCCAGATGGGCGTCAGACTGGGCAAGGTGCCCTGCGTCCCCATCGAGGAGGAGTATGTGAGCGCAGAGAGGTACGTTCAGGGACAGAGGACACACTCACAAGCACAGAAACACATTCACACACTGTGACAATGGCACCTCAACCAGAACACGTTTTTATGTGGGAGCATTCAGCAGCTGGATGGATGGTGGTAATAGGGTTTTCTTTGTGTGTGAATTCCATCTGTTGTTCCCCTCCATTACTCCCTACATATGCTCTTTCCTTTATTTTTCTCATCCTGACATTTACTCCTCTGCAGGGTCCTACACGGCTGAGGAATTGAGTTCACACAGATCAAACAATCTCTCTGTGGTGCACTTAGTTGGGAAATGACGCATGTTGAGATAGAGAGCATCTCTATTCAAATATTACACACACATCAGTTATTTTGCACATTCTTCCTGACATCCATGCAACACTTTAGCATGTGTAAGATGTATTATTTAATATCTACCCTTCCTTCTTCGCTAGTTTCTTTCTGCTTCTTTTATTCCGCCTGTCACTCCTCCTGAAACACAGATTAAATCTAGTTTAGTACCATGTTACAATGCATACAATATGAAGCCTAAAGCACATGGAGGTGAAATCCATACTAGATTAAAAAAAAACCTCTTGATTAACAGAACCTGTAAAATATAGTTATGGACACTCAGCTTCTCCATAAAGGGTTTTCATCTCTGGAGCACATAACTCCCTGAAATAAAATGAATTCCAGAAATAAAAATATTTTACAGCACAGATTAAGTGCTGGTTTAAAGCAAACCCGAGTTCTAGACCCATTAATAGCTCATTGTACTATAAATTGCCAAGGTGCATTGTGGTATATGTATTGTGTGTAATTTCATATCTGTAGAGTTGTGTGGTTGTATAATTCTAAAAGCTGTATATTTTAACTACACTACATGAGAAGGACCAAGAGTTCAGAATTAGCCATATCTATAAGGTCTCTGTTCAGCCCATCATTTTCAGGTTATGTTTAATTGCATTGTCCCTATCAAATAAAAAAGGTATCACATACTGTGACTGCAAGCTATGTTGCATTATGTTACATATGTAAGCGACCAATTTAAAAGCAGCATTTGGTACGATTTTAGAGATTTTGTAATGACTTTTTACCTCTCCAACCACAGAATAGTGTGTCTGCTGAACGACGCCACCAGCTACAGGGTACAGGAAGCCCCGGTGGAGGTGTGTGTGAGGGACTGCGTCAACGACTACAGAGCGCTGTCGCCCAGGCCCTTTACCTTTGTGGTAAGCACCATACAAAGAGTCTATATGTTCTTTTAGACCGTGATGACTAAATAAATATCCTTATTTCATGAAATGTCTCTAGTAACTGAGCAAAGGGTTCAGTTTAAAAAGTCAAAATACGCCCCATAGATGATTTATAGTATTTCTGTTTTAAGTTACTACAGGTTGAAGTGTTTTTTATAAATAAATGTCTATAACTAAGGCATCTCATCATTGATTATGATGTCATCTGAAAATATGAAAACTCCAAAAGGTGCATTGAAATTACAGATCAAAACAAATGTACATGATTGATTGAATCGTAATCCAGTGAACATATGTAATTTATGTTTAGACTATACATGTAAAGGCTGTGGTCCTTGAAGTCTTCTTGATGTTTCTTGTAACATTTCTGGGAATAACCGAGACTCAACCATTTTGATTCTATTTACTAAGTGAAAATAAATGTTACTCCCTCTCCTCCAGACTCCATTCTTCACCCGTATCCAGCCTTCTCAAGGGCCCATCTCTGGGGGCACCCGGGTCACCATCGAGGGAAGTTCCCTCAACGCAGGCAGCTACGTCTCAGTGGGCATCGGACAGCAGCCCTGCTACTTCAAAAAGTAAGGACCATGTGTGGGGAGGCTGTAGCTCAGGAGTAGATGGAAGTCCTCCAACTGGTGGGTGCTGCGATCTCCAGCCCCTGCAGTCAGCATGTTATCGTGTCCTTGTGCAAGATGCTTAAAAGGGGCCCTATTTCCTTCCCTTTCCTGTAGTGTGTGTATTGCAGGAAATCACAAAGATATGACATGTCATCATTGTGTAAGGTTAGCATGTTGTGTGTTTGTTTGATCATGAATGTCTGTTGCATGCTTGTTGCTCTCTTTCTGCCCTCACACAGGCTTTCCTTAATCTAGTGCATGAAAATATCCAGAGTACCGACACACTTGCTTGTCAAATGCCTGGATTAGCCTCTCACAGCTAATCTCTGTTGAAGCCGCCGTATGCTAGCTTTGATGTGACTGCATCATTCCTGTGCTTGCATTAATCCAGCAGATTCCACTTCAACACAGCAACTCTGTCCTTATCTGTCACACCCTAACTGTGTGACCGTGTTTGTGGCATCTTGTGAAGGTTGCCGAGACATGTGTGTCTTTGTGAATGGGGTTGCTATGGTGACTGGACAAGGAAGATTTTTCCTTTTTCACTCTGTCACACTCTCTCCCTCTCCGTGTGACTGTGATGGCATATTGAGGCACAATGGAATGTGCAACACTACATTAAAGTGTACGCACACACACACACACACACACACGCACACGCACATGCACACGCACACGCACACGCACAGACACCAACACACACACACACACACACACTGCTCCTGTGAAGTCATGGCCCAGAAAAGCAGCCACCACTCAACTGTGCTAAATACATATTAGATAGAGAAGCTACTGGGGACTGCAATTTGTATTTTGCCTATGGGACATCCACGCATGGACACACACACACACACACACACACACACACACACACACACACACACACACACACACACACACACACACACACACACACACACACACACACATGCTCCCCCAGTGTTTATCGACTGGTGTTGTTGAGCCTTGACAGTGCACCAATCATAGCAGGCATAAACTTCATTAAACATGACTTCACATGACTTGTTTCTCATTGTTGTATGTGGCTCTCCCTACATTGAAAACTCACATTTCATTCCTTTCTAAAAAAAAATGCGGTACATGCCATGCTATTGTACCATTTGCCGCGTGTCATGCCCTCTTTTCCCACGTTCAACACTGTCACTTACATAAAGGCAGTAGTTGCTCCAAAAAACTTTGAAATAAATAAATACAATAAATAAATAAATACATAAATAAACAAATACATTCATAAATTAATAAACACATACTGTAGAGCAGGGGTGCCCAATACGTCGATTGCAAAGGTAGTGTGGGTAGATCGCATGGCATCCATCCTTACTATGGCATTTGCCACTTGATTGACGTACAGGTAAGCCAGTCTGAGATCTCATCTTTTCTAACACGCAGTTCACCACGCATGCACGGTCAACTGCGCCAGCTGCAAATCACCGACGAGCTGATTACCTAGTTAGCCTTCCAATTTATACAATTCTACTAAAGAAAGGGTATACAATTGACATAATGACCAAAAATGTACTGAGTTGTATTGTGCCATACGGGTTCTTGCAGTTATGCAAGGTACACCAACATAAGGTATACTCAGTATATATATACATAAATATATGTTTAGCATTTTTAATGTAAGGCAAGGCAAGGCAAGGCAAGTTTATTTATATAGCACCTTTCAACACAAGGCAATTCAAAGTGCTTTACAAAAATGGAAGACATTAAGAAAATGGCATTTAAAATCAGTCATTAAAAAGAAAAGATAATAAAATAAACATTAAAAGAAAAAATACATGGATAAAAGTTACAGTGCAGTTTAAGATGTGAATAGTTCAATTAAAAGCAGCGGCAAAAAGAAAAGTCTTAAAGATTTAAAAGTAGTAAGAGTTGCAGCGGACATGTAGGTAGATCATGTTGACTTGGTCATTTTAAAAGTAGCTCCCAAGCTGAAAAAGTGTGGGCACCCCTGCTGTAGAGGATGGCTTACACCAGCCATACAATATACTACAAAAATGACTCGAAGGGAGTCTGAAAGAGTAAATGATTTGATTTTCAAAATATAAATAAAAAATAGGGTTTGTCAATAAAAATACATCTAGCAAAGCCTTGCATGCATACCTAGTTTGCATAATATGCGGACATATATAATTGAAACAAGAACAAATGCCTCTTAATGCCATGTGTTAGTGCAGCCACAGACAGTAACATGCACACAACATGTAGATTGTTGCTGAACTCAAACTGTTATAAGTACACATTTTTGGATATCACAATAAAAAGGCTGGAAACTTAACACATTAATTCAAAGAGCTTTACTGCAGTCAAAAACAAACATAAATACTATATGAGACAACTGTAATCCCTGTGACCCAGCAGGCCAGAAAGGATTTGACTTTCTGAAGTGCATTGCTCACAAATGGGATTATCTAATCAAATTAGCAGGTTACAATATGACTTTGAGAGGGAGAGACTAATTGACTTTACAGACTGGACAATGGTAATTACAAGCACAATGAGCAAGTCATTAAATATGTCATGGCTTCAGATCGGACCCCAGTATTTAGGGACTGTTGCTGGAACTAGAAACTAATCATTGCCTCTGTATTATAATAATTCAGTTTTAAAGGTGATTATCAGATTATTCTGGACCGCTTCTTGGCAGGATGTTGCAGAGGGGCTCCCACCATTCCCTGCAATCTTGTTCGTGTTTGTATCCTGCATCGCTCTATTTATTAGAAATTTCCTGTGGGACAGGAGAACTCCAATATCTTTCAAATATCACAACAGTTTGTAATGATATTGTAGGAATCTGTCTTCACAGTGTGCCTGAGGGCTCTGAGGAAATGTAGAATCTCTCTGAGTTGAAACTGTTTTCTGTCCAATGCATTTTTGATTCGGGATCATCCAACTTTTCTTTTGTCTGTCCTTCCAGGAGGAATGCCAATGAGATAGTGTGCATTACCCCAGCTGGATCAGCCGTGAGCAGTGCGTTAGTCACTGTGGACATCGATGACGCTGAGCTCCAAAACCCTGAGGTGAAGTTTAACTACACTGAAGACCCCACCGTCCTGAGGATTGAACCGGACTGGAGCATTGCCAGGTAATGTGCTATGTTTGTTGTCTCATTTGTGGTCCATTCATTGCTTGGTGTCTTTTTTTGTCCATCGACCATTTTAACAAATAACACATTTTGGTCAGGATAGGATGTTGGAACTGTTATAACAGCCAAATAAAGCATAATATGCAGTGAGCCAGTCCATATAGCAAAAGGAACTCTGTCAGGGTTCCTATTATCCCACTTATTACATGGCTATTACTAAATAAATCAACAATTTGACACAGCAGAACGATTTGAACATGATTTTATTGATTACAAAAATGATCATATTGCTTTCCCAGAGGAAAAGTAGTCCATTCTTCTGCTTAGTGACAGTTTGAACTGCAGCGACGGTTCTTCCATTTTATAGAGATACAAAAAATGACGGCAGCACTGGTAGAGGTTTTCTATTACTGTCAAAGTATTCACATTTTATTTTCCATTAACCAGTCTTTAAATATTGCCAGAGCCCATACCCTGTTCCAGTTAGTGTTTACGATACCACTTTACAATAAGACTAATATTATATATACAATTTACGAATAGTTTGAATTTCATTTATTAATTAGGTTGTGAACACTTTATAAATCATTAATAAGCTTTTATAAGACATGAGATAAACAGGGCAACTGTGACCGGTTGCTTGCCAAATAGTGAGCCCACATTTATCTGTACTGATAAGCTACTTAGCTTAACTCGTCTTCTTCATCAGCCAGCATCCTTGGTATCTGTTGTTCACTGAGTTGATTCTCGCTAAGTAGCCAAGGCTTAGTCATCTTGCCAAATAGTGAGCCTGTGTTGATGTATGAAAACTATGTTAGAACTGGTTTATATATGGTTCTTAATTATTAATAAAGTGTTTACAACCTCATTCATAACCCTTTATGAATCCTTTATAAGGGTAGTCTTATTGTAAAGTGGTACCGTGTTTACTTCCTGTCTGTCTTCTTCTTCTGATTTCTTTGACGTCTTTTATCCAGCTCTGTTTTCTTGTTCTAGTTCTCTTATTCTTTCATTTACTTGGTGCAGTTCACCCATCATGAATCTAACGTGTCCTGTTCTCCCCAAATATGAAAGAAATAATACTCAAAAACGATTCCATGGTGCTTTTATGATGGAGGAACACAGATGTGATTTCTTTCCACGGCTGATGTTAAATTGAGTAAACTTCACTACGCGGATTGATATGATTGGTATATAATAATGCATAATGGCCGTTAACATCAATCCAAGCAGCTCTCAAGAGTTCCTCAAAGAGCTCAATAACTGCACCAAAACAATCACAATTCTTGTGTCCAAGTGGAAAGAGGTAGAACGTGTTTTTTGCGCAAAACTGTAGGGCGAAGTCTCACTTTAAATGTTAAACTAGAGTTTGGTTTGGATTGACGTAGATTGACAGCTCCTCTGGGGATTTTTCATCCAACTCAAGCAAGATATTTTTAGTTGGAAAATGATCAGTGGTGTAGTCTGATTGTCTGATTTGAGAAATGGCCGTGTCAGCCTGTCAGATTATACAGCCCATTGATTGTTTGAATTAGATTGTTGATTGAAGAGGCAGTTAATACTGATCAGCTGATGGCACATGAAACAGTTCTCTTAATGCATCCCTCACTCAAACTCAGATTTGCATATCCTGTAATGCAGTACTGCCAGTGGGAGGGCAGACACAGGAACACATTGGTCTTTATGATGGAGACTTCGGTACCAAACCTTTTCCTCTGGCTTCATATATCCTGCGTTATTTTTCAAAACGGGAGGTCGAGTGATATTAATATTTATTGGACTAATCAAGGATTTTTTTCTTTCTTTTAAGTCCAGAGACCTCACCCTACAGTCTTCTACCAAAAATGAGACCAGTGTCCCTCCCCAGGACATCTGTGAAGGATAGCCTTCCACCTCTCTAGGCTTCCATTGCATAAGATCTGAAATGAGTCCATGTCTAGCCCGCCATTGAATTTCATATCTGCTGTAACGTTGGGTGATTCTTCCATGATCAACTTTGTACTCTGCGAAGGAGGTTATTTATTTGTTGGTTCTCTTTTAATTGAAGTCCTGTTGGGATTGGGTTCATATCTCTAAGTGTATATCTAAGAGCAACATGTTGGCGGGTGACAAAGGTAAAGATCTTTCTGCTTAATTTTCATGTCTATTACAAAACACCTCCTGTGATTCAACATTGCCAGATCACTGAGTTTACAGTATTGGGTATATATTACCCACCTGTTCCAATAATCCTATTTGATCTACCATATGTCAAAACACCTGCTGCTTTCCGTTCTATATTTTCTACACTTATTTCATTAACTATCTCTCTCAATGTATTCAAGGTGCTGATACCGGCAGCACATGTTTGTCCTTTTCCCCTCCTGCCCCTCCTTTCTTCCCTTTTTCTGTGTTGTTTTCCTCCCTGTGGTGACTCATCAGTAGATGGTGGCAGATAGATGCAGAGCTTGTTAGAGAAGAGTGTTGATGAATCCTGCCCTGCTCCCTTTGCCCAGTAGGACTGACCGAGAAGCAGCTGAGGCCCAATCACTGCAACACACCCCCCTGTGAGGGTGTGTGTGTGTGTGTGTGTGTGTGTGTGTGTGTGTGTGTGTGTGTGTGTGTGTGTGTGTGTGTGTGTGTGTGTGTGTGTGTGTGTGTGTGTGTGTGTGTGTGTGTGTGTGTGTGTGTGTGTGTGTGTGTGTGTGTGTGTGTGTGTGTGTGTGTGTGTGTGTGTGTGTGTGTGTGTGTGTGTGTGTGTGTGTGTGTGTGTGTGTGTGTGTGTGTGTGTGTGTGTGTGTGTGTGTGTGTGTGTGTGTGTGTGTGTGTGTGTGTGTGGCACTCAAAACTGAGGTTCTACTTCAGGAAGCTCACTCAGGGGTGATGATCCCAAATAAAAAAATGACACATGCACGCACACACATATCCACACACCCCACTGATTCCCAGAGTCCCTGAAGTTTGGCCCTAGATCCCTCCTCCATCTGGCTGTGAAGACAAAACAACACACACCTCACCAACGGCAACAAAGCTGTGTGTGTTGCTTCCAGCTAGTGGAGGCTTTAATTTAGCTGGTGCGTTTCAGCCAGTGCCCTCCGTCACAGAGGCACGTGCTGGCTCAGGTAGAAAGTAAAACGAGGCAGTGCGATGTGAGATCATATCGGTTCATATCGGCCTCATTGTCTGCCTTTGTGCTAATACATGCACGCCTGAAGAGCATTACCATTCTGCTTGGTTGATGATAGCAAGAGAGGATGAAAGACAGTGAGAAGAGAAGACACCGAGGGGAGGGAGATAGAGTGCATTATCAGTGTGCTTGGCTGATGATATTACATTTAGGGAGAAGACAGAGCACTTCAAAAATAAATCAATGACTGCTCATCTGGGACACCGGGGAAAGATATTTGGGCAGCGGCAGAGGTTAGAGAAGCAATTTTGGACATAATATTCAAATCTCCTCCCAAACCAGATAGATAAGTGGAGCTTAGAATGGGGTTTGCCACTCCTTCTGCCAAGGTGCCTTTAAGCTAGGCAATGCCTACTACTCCAAGGCTGCTGCTTAATGGTAGCCATTAGAAAACGATTTCACTAATACTGGCCAGGTCTAACTACCAGTGTTCAGACAGACAGATTTGACAAAATCCTGAAAGAATCCATGTTTCCTCATAAACTACAGCTTAACAACTAATATTAATATAGGTCATTACAACCTATTTGTTTTGTTTTTTTGGAGGTCAGTCTATAAACTAATGTAGCTGGAAAGCTAACGACTGACATGCTACAAAGCCAGGAAGATGCTACGCTAGTAAGTCACAGTAGTTTCACTGCAGCACTATAAGTATGGTCAGTGTTGGGATGTAATAATGTACATGCACTTAAGTATTGTGCTAAAGTATAATGTTGAGTGACTTTTACTTTTAATATGTTCAATCTATGGTGCTTTATACTTCTTTTCCACAACATTTTGGAAGCCAATATTTTACTTTTTAATTTACATGACAGCTTTAGCTACAAATATGAAATAAACTAATACATGAACATCGATAAACTGTGATGAACATATTACCATATTTATAAGTATTACCCAGTGATTTAATAGATATGATTCTGAAATAGGTTATTACTATTAACAAGTACTTTTACTTTTGATATTTTTGATATTGATGTCAATCATTTTGTACTTTTACTTAAGTAAGATTTTAAATTCAGGACTTTATAGTATTTTAACATTTTGGTGTTACTTCTTCCACCGCTAGGTATGGTCATCTGTTATGCATTTAGAACAGCCAAATCATTCCCATTATCATAACAAGGATATCTGGCGTCTTGTAGGATTTTCAGAAGACTTTGGCACCAACGTCCATTAAATAATGACATGAATTTTGTCAGAGGTCAAGTTCATAATATATGTTTTTACACACTAAATATGACAAGTCCACTAACATGTCTGAATTGATGAATTGGTGACATGTCAATCAGATTTGGAGGGAATTTGGCAAGGCAGTAAATGAGTTTTAATTGAATTTCAATGTCTAGCTAATCTTCTGGTTTTCAGTGTTGGTTGATTAACTTACTGTACAGGAAGCTGTTGACATTTATTTTTGAAAAAAGCTACGATAGGATTTTTGACAGACAGTGATAGAGGATTGGACCGAAGAGAGGGTCAGAGAAAAGAAACACAGAGGGATTAGCACAACAGAAAGGGAGGACAGAGTTGGCAGAAGAAGAAAGGGGTGCAGTCAGAGAGAAATGCTAACAACAGTGGCTAGATTTCCCCAGCTATCCCTGAGAGTTTATCCTGATTGTCTTGTTGTCTGTTCTCTGAAGCATGTACCTGAGCTAAAGAGACTCACTTAGACAAAGAGAGGAGCACAGGGGACAGAGGGACTCAGCACAAATATACATCAAGCTGGGGAGGAGAGGGGGGGGAGTAAGGGGGAGGCAGAGGACAGGCTGTGTTGTAAAAAGTGCAGTGTGTCTGGTCCCATGATGCAATTGTTGCAAGGACATAATCATTATGTAATATCTCTCAATTTATCCATTGCTAATAACATTTAAAAAAGAGAAAGTGATATCAATGAGAACCTAAAAGTAGACGCAGACAAATCTTGCTACACCTACGTCAGTTGTCAAAATATTGGTCAAAGGCTTGTTATTCTAAGTGCCAGCTAAGATCACATTTTTCACATTATGCTGTTATCCAAAGGAATCTCGGATGAATTGGAATCAGTTGCCTCAGTAATGGGCAACCTGCCAAAAAAAAAGCACTGTAGCTGAGAAGAATAGCCAGACTTGAATCATTTTCTCTGCTATCAATGCCAAAGATGGTACGTCTACCTTTATATAGTACTCCATTTCCCTCCTTATCATTCCCACATGCTGTTATTTTAAGTCTTCCTGGATTACTGTGATATGAATGTCTAGCCAGACAGACTCTCTATCCAATATATTAAGAGGCTCTGTCTTGGCTTCCTATCACCAAATCACTCACTCTGCTGTTGGTGCTTTTACACTAAGTCGTTCTGGATAAGTGTCACATTAATGTCGACAATGAAAAGACACCTGCGTTTAAGGAAATCAATGGTAACCCACCAGAAGGAATGTGCATTGTTATCCTCCTGAGATACAGGGTTGAAGAGTGTAATCTCTAAACTACAAGTCAATGTCTCAGTGAGTAGAATGATGCTAAAACATTACTAGATAGTCATGTTGTCTGTCTTGTGGCCTTTATAATGGCCTGTGGACAAGTAGTCTGGATCAGGTATCTATACCTGCAGGGAGAACTTCAACTGCCTCGGATTAAGCAACGATTTGAACTAGCAGAGCGATGTCCCTGCTTCCTTTTGAGGGAGGTAGGACTCAGCAGACATTGCCCCATCCTAATATTGACTGGTGTTGATTGTCAGCATCAGCCATCACAATGTAATCCTACAATTCAGAACTAGCGGGTCATTGCTGGAGTCACCACTAATCCACTTGCAGTCGCAAAGGTAAAAGTGGTGAAAACACTCCTAATGTCCAATAGCAGAGTCCAAGGGATACTTTATGTGGCCCAGGGCAGGTCCATCACAATGAGGAGATACAGGCAGTATTGCAGGATTACTAAAAGCCATCCAAGATGGAATTCTGGGAGAATGGGGATAACGAACTGGGAAATATGGCCAGCTTTTTTAAGAGATTTTGTAGAGGTGTCCAAAGATAATCGGTCAATATGTGTCAGCTGTCGTTTTTTCCTTTCGTTTTTGCAATTTTACTTTGGGGTTCTGCTCCACAGTATAGAAAAAACAGCAAAATGAACAACACAGTAGACAAGTCAGTACTCAGAACAATGACTGAATAGTAATGGCCACACCAATGGAGATACCCAAGCAACAGAGGGAGTACATTTGAATAACACTTGTCTTTATGGTCAAGACTAGAGAATGATATGCATTACACTTCACTCACATCCAGTCTGCAAGATGTCCACAGAGAGATCATGACCGTGGGTGTTGGCCACAGGTGTTTACAGTACAATCTTCACCAAGGCCCAGAATACCCATTCAGTGCCCACTGCATGTGTAAAGAAAATGCTCCAATGTGCACTAACGGAGCTGCATATCCTTTATTACTTTTCCAAGATAGAAGGTTTCATCTCAGCCTTTTTTATGTCAGACAGCAGTGTGAGAGACTACAGTATATCCCCCCTCCGGGCGGTGAGGACCCTGCAGGAAGACACACAATAGGGAATCGAACAGACTATGTTTCTCTGAGGGCACAGATAGCAGAGGCAAAAGTGAACGTCCCCTCGCAGAAAACAGAGTAGAGAACTCAGAAGATTCAACTACCACTGTAAAACAAGGTTGGCACAAAGACTGTACGACTTGAAAACCATATCAATCCAATTTAAGTGTTGCAGTGAAAAGAAGAGACTAATTACATTGTCTTTACAAGAGGAAAGAGTCCTCTCATTGTAAAGATTGTGAATTATCTAGGTACTTCATGATCTCAGCCGTAGTAATCTCGCACTGTTCATCAAAATAAATGACTCCACCAATCATTTTGGGTCACGCAAACACAAAATACCACTAAAGGGCAACCAAATCTTTCCAAAAAAATCCCATGGTCCAAATTGGAGAGATGGAATTGGCAATCTAATCAGCTGTAGTACCGATTCAACAAGCATGATCAGTCAATTCATAGAGACTGATTACATCTTCTAAGAATCAATCCATAGACATTGTTACACCAACAGAGTGAGAGTCTGCCTTCACACACCACTCACCAACAAAATGATACTCAGGCTGAAGCCAACTTCTAGCATTGTTATTTTCTGGATTCAGTCCAGTGGGCTTCACTGGCAGGCGAGCACATACTTACTGTGGATAGAGTTGTGATTACAGAATGAAGAGTATCTCTGCGGTTCTTTATCACTCTGCCTATTTCTCTCCTTGTCCTTTCTCTCTTTCACTTTCACTCACATATATGCTCCCTCGTGTCCTTATTCTCTCCTTTTTATCCCTGTTAACATTCTATAATAACAATATTAACACATACCTTTTTTTATTTTGCTGCTGCACATGGCAGTGTTTATGTTATACATTTGTTTTAATTTGTCTTTTATCATAATGAGAAAGTGTTAATTGATCAAAGTATGATGCAAAATGCTGTGTAATACAGAACAACTCAGTGAACTGTTCACTGATGTATTTCATTCGTTTTTTGCCACACTTTTTGCAGATTTTGAAATAGAGTATATGCTTGCAGCTCATACAGCAATACAACAGATGTATGGTTATATTCAGGCATTCAAAGACACTTGGTCTTTGTTTAATACAGAAATAATGTACAGCAACTACCATGAACATTGCTATCATTCAATGGAAACTAAATTATTTCTCTAAATATAAACAAAGTGCATTTGTTAACTTATCCTAAACACACATTGACCACCACCCAACAGCTTTACATAACTCTAGCGCTTCATTCCTGTTAGTATATTTAAGGTAATGGTTATCATTGGGAAAATAAATTGTTCTTATACAAGCATAACCCCTTGGGGAAAGTGTTAGTGCAACAAATATATTTTTTAATTTAATTAGCTGATTTTTTATGATTCTTTCCCACTGAATCTTTATTGTCTTTCATTTGAATGTTTAAGCGGACGTTGCCTTCTGCATTGGCATCACTCGGTAGGAACGTTACTCACAGACGGAATGTCCAGTACATTCGGCCGCTACCAATCTCAATTCAAATGGAATCAGGGACAGACTTGTTTACCCTGGATAAGGGAACCTACTGTACATGTGTTGTTGTTGTTGTTGTTGTACTACCTTCTTCTTCTCCCCTCTCTTTATTCCTACAGTGGTGGCACTCTACTGACAGTGAGCGGGACCAACCTTGCAACCATCCGAGAACCAAAGATCAGGGCCAAGTATGGGCAGGCAGAATCCTTTCATGTGAGTATTGATGTGACACACACACACACACACACACACACACGCACACACACACACACACACACACACACACACACACACACACACACACACACACACACACACACACACACACACACACACACACACACACACACACACACACACACAGACTAACATTAACAGGCAGCCCAGTGTACGTAGAGCAAATATAAATTCACAAACGCACCCTGGCAGTAGATACATACTACATTATTCATCTGTACGCGTACAGTACATACATTAACTGACACATATATGCAGGCATACCCCTCCGCATACACAACATGATCTACAGACAACTTCTTCTTCTGTGCCACTAAAGGTGGCAGACAGACTGTCTGTGTGAGTCTGCTCCCTTTACAGATACAGCTTCAGACAGCTAACGCTACCTCAGGCCACATAGCTTTTCAAATGTCAGCGCACCACATGAGTGTTTGTGTCACTGAAAGAAAGAGACAACATGAGAGGGACTGTGTGCGTGAGTGAAGGAGAGACAGATGGAGATGTTTGGGGAATAAAGACGAGAAACAAATTCAGTGTCTCATCTGAAAAGTTGAAGAGCTTCGTCAATTCTATAGATTCTCAAAGCACTTTGGTGATTGACATTGAGAGTTTAAAGCTCTTATAGTTGTCAAGGTTGAAAACTTCACATCAAACTGAGGCACTCCAACCTGTTTACGAGGCAAACAGAATGCATCCCACACAGCCCTCTATCAAAGTGCTACTTAAAGGACTATGTTTTTAATGCTGTCGCCCATTTAATACAAACCACGAATACTGAAATGACAGCCTTTTTCCAAAGCATATCGGGGTTTCCCACACATAGACTTTACTTGGGCGGGCCGCCCACGTATATTAACGTACTATATTCCGCGACCCATTTAGGTTTAATTTTGTTTGAGCACGACGCCATCTGCGATCGATTAACTAGCGGACAATGATCCCTCGCTCTACCCCTCCTGTACCTGTTCGCTCTGCTGTCGCGTGAAGGGTCTGCTCTATGCGCTCCGCAGTAACCCCGCTGCAAGGCTCCGGTGAACAGTTCACCCACTAGCACCCCACCCCCCCCCCAACCGCCACAAGTATCCACAAGTATATTTCAGATCTGTGGGAAACACTGCATACACTATGGTGTTTTTACATTTTTTAATACATTTGCTTCCCTTCCAAACAGCCTTTACTTTTTCATTTCATAACTGCGTGACAGCCAACTTCAGATAAGAATCAATCACAATTAACCTCATGTCCACTTTACACAATAATTAGTGGTATTACTGCATTGTATGGCAATGCAATTGGACGTGGGGATAGATTTGAAATCTCTGTGATCTCTGTGACTAGCTTTGAAAAATGTTACTCCTTTTGCACCTCTTGTTGTCAAAAGATAAAACATGAAAGCAATTTATTTAATATTTACATGTTTTTATTGTGTTTAGACACACGTTAGCTTAATATCTTTTCATTCGCTGAATTTGTTTATATACATATGGAGTTGTACTTAAAGGGGCCCTGATATGTTAATTTTCTGGTACATATTTGTATTTTGTGTCCCTACTGTGAAATGTCTACATGATGTAATGGTCAAAGGGAGGGAAATTATACTATGCTATAATATATTATACTATAACTAACTATACTATACATATTATACTATTTCACCCATTATACTATTTAACCCACTACAGGAAGGGAAAGGGGAAAAACCTGAAAAACGAAATAGGGCCTCTTCAAATCTTTATTTATTCATACACCTTTTGTATTTAGTAAATGGTCTACTTCCTATAAATTGAAGCAAACATGGCCATGACATCTTGTATTCATGTATTCTCCAAAGCAATAATGTTAAATATCCTCCAGTACAAGCAAAGGAACACAGGCCATTGTCCATTATTAACAGTTGATCATACATTTGCAACCAATTTACATTTCCAATAGGCATAACAGCACTGCAGCTACACGGGGCATTGACAAAAGGGATGGTTCATTATACCCGGAAGATCTGTTTTTAAATAAACGGATAGCCTGCAGGTTATTCTTACTATTTTATAAAGAAGGCCATGCTACCTGTTTTATAGAAGACATCCTCCTCTCAAGAACACTTTAACTTGAATATTATAAAAACGAGTGCATTTAGGTTTCGGTGCACATTCATTGTACATATATCTTCATAGAGAGAAGAGATTAAGAATAGTCTTTTACGAGGTCTAAGGTCTTTCTTGTTTCCTCATTTTCAGAACTGTACGGTGTATAATAACTCCGTCATGGTGTGCCTGGCTCCGTCGGTAGCTGATTCTGAGCTGGGCTTCTCCGACTCCGGCACAGGCCCGGATGAGATCGGCTTCTACATGGACAACGTGAACGCTCTGGTGGTGGTCAACGAGACGTTCAGCTACTACCCCGACCCCGTGTTCGAGCCGCTCAGCCCCTCAGGGATACTGGAGCTCAAACCAACGTCGCCGCTCATTCTCAAGGTCAGAAAAGCACTGTTGTTTTCCAGATATTACTTGCATGCATGAACATTTCAGTTTTTTTACCTTGACATGGTAACGTTAGCAAAATAAATATTGAAAAACAGGTGTATATTGAACATGATCAGTGGTATTACTTTAGACAGCGCATGCAGTATGAACAAGGGAATCGCCACCCTAAAGAAAATGCAAAATGTTCCTGTAATTATACAATTAATCAGATTTACAGATTTGATTTGAGTATGTTTAGAGATAGACAGTTGCTTTGTGTACTAGTTTAATTAAGTTTGTGGAAGAATACACATGTTGAACTACAATTATGCCTGTATTTGGTTTTATTAGCTGTTTGTATCTGCCATTGGTATTATATTATACCATATATGTTGGCCTCAATGTACTGCTATGATTCATTCTTTTTGAGAGCATCACTAAAGGCAAAGCGAAATGTCCCAGACAAAAAGTCGACATCATCTTCAGTCTATACATACATAAGACATCTAAACAACAAAGCAACAGGTAGTGGAGTGAAGTAGGTTTAGTTGTACTATTATCATATTATAATCCAAATATAAAAGGTATTATTGGGAAGAAATGGAGGTTCAGGCCATCATTTCATTCTATAATAACCCTTTTTGGCAGCGTGGGTAAGTTTCATTTCAAACTCTAGAAGAGAAAAGGCTTTTAGGATGGGGAATAATCGATAAGTTTAGCAAATGTAACCATAACGATGGCTTTCTAAACAGAGCTGCTAACGTTACCCTGCACTCTGATGTATCCAGAAACACAGTGGTCGTTGTCGTTGTACAGAGCTTAATCCTAATAACATAAAATGTCAGAACTGTATGTTGATGTGTGTTTAGGAAGATTGCTTTACAGAACAAAATTTCAAAAGAGAGCGCTTTTCTTACAATAAGATCATTTTACTTACAATAAGAAAAATGCACATAACCACCTAAGCAACCATATCAAAAGGTTTGTTAAAATGATTTTGTACCCACTTGTATACCTTATACACACATTGTAATTACATTATTCAAACCTCAGTCTCAGGTGGTAGGTAGATGTTTCTCTTCTTTCACTCGTCTGCTAAAGTCCCAAACATATTGACCTTATCTTGTATTAATAATGGCAAAGCCTTCATACGCCGACACGTACAAACACACACTCACTGGTATATTTTTCCACAAGAAGAAAATTGCTCTCAAATGTGTTTACAAGGTCTTTTGGAGAGGAGGAAAAAAATCTCACAAATGTTTCATTTAAAGCTGAACGAAAACGTCCACACTTTCCAAGGCCGATTTATTTCCTTCAGTTACTAACAGCAACTTCTTTGACTGACGTCCTTCTCTGCAGCCTCGAGCCCTCTTAAATGACAGTCTTTTCAATTTGTGTAATTATTTTCTAGTGCTGGAAGGGCAGTGTTGAAGCACGCAGTCCCAAGATGTAGGACATTTGAATTATTTTCGTTTTTATGTCTATAAACAGCAATTGGATTTAAGTATATGAAATTAATTGCCAGTTTTTATCCTACAAAACTCGCCTGAAATATTTATTCTAAGAGTTATTGGAGAGAAATTAAAGTAGCTACAGTATGCATGCTATTACTCATGTTGAATTCACTGAAATAACCAGCAGAACAGTGTCTGCAAATAACAATCGATGGGTTAGTCAAGAGGGTTTTTCTGGCCCAGGGGCCCAAAATGTCATGGCCCCCCCTGGCCTTCACCTTTAAAATGTCAAAGAGATGAGTACAAACCAGGAAGAGACTTAGAAAGGACCAGAAACAGATACAGACTACAAAGAGACACAAAACCACTACAGAGCGGGAAAAAGACCACAAAGAGACCAAAGCAACTACGAAGACATACAAAATGGCTGCAAAGAGACCACAATCAGACAAATAACAACTACAAAGAGATTTAAAAAAAAAGACTACAAGTGAAGGAAAACAACTACAAATCAGTTACAATACAAACAAAGAGACTACAATTGGACTCACAAAAACGGTGAAAACAGAAGGGAGATAACAACCACAAAGAGACATACAATGACTACAGAGAGACTCAAAGTACTCTAACGGGGGGGAAATAAACTACAAAGAGACACAACGTACTACAACGGGGGGGGAAATAAAGTACAAAGAGACACAAAACAACCATTAATAGACACAAAATTACTACAAAAAATAATACAAATAGACAAGAAAAGATGCATTACCACAAAATGAGACTAACAAAGACTATGACCCGAGATAAAACAACCACAGAGAGACACAAAGCTACTTCAAAGAGACACAAAACAGCTACAAACAGACACACACCATGTGTTTCCTGCTTTAACAGAAGAGCCACTGGGGTCTTTTTGCAGGTCTTTGCACAGGGGCCCATTGTCTCCTAATCCAACCGTGACATATAAATACTAGTATTAACTATTGACACAACATCGTTAGTCCTGAAAAACAAATGTTCTTCATTTGAGATATTGGACAATAATTGTAATTTATTTGAGATTAGTGTCACATTGATGTCCTATATTTAATCCAGCGTTCAGTGCTTTTATCTTCTGCAAGAATTCGCCTTGACTATCTCTTATGTTATCACAGAGAGAGTCTGCTATGCCGTTTATTTCCATGAAGAGATCGAAAGCGGCATAACCGACGTCATTTATTTCTTAAACGATAATCTATTAGCGAAGAGCCTCTCAGTAATTTCCAAATCTCCTGCTTGGCTTGCCGGTGGAACTGCCTACCCATTGGAAGCGCTGATGAGATGGACAAAAATGCAATTTGGCAGCGTGTGATGCTGGGAAGGGGGGGGGGAGAGGGTTGCATTTCTCAGAGATGCGTGCACTGCGCTCGCCACGCAATTAATTTCTCATCTGAAGTGTCGGCTGTGTTGTTACCGAGGTGTGTTAGGCAGGAGAGAAAACATTTATCTGGTCTTGGTGTTCCGTGAGTGCTTTTGCTGTGTGTGTTTGTGAGAGTGTGTCCCCGCGTGATGCTTCTTTCCTGTACTGTGTGTGTGTGTGGCAACAGCTCCGTGTGTGGCTTCAAGTGGAGTGCATGCGTGGCTTGAACTCTGCATGTGTGTGTTGGTGTGTGTGTGAGATGGGATGCATGTTTACAGGGCTGCAGAGCGGGCTGGCGGCCTGCAGAGACGATGGATTGGAAAACGGAGTCTGTCTCTGCGTCCCACTGCTGAGCCAGCGGGAGGGCCTGGCAGCTCTCTCCTCTCCCCCCTCTCAGTCTATCTTGCTAGCTCCCCAGCTCTGGTTTTTTTCTGCTCATTCCCATTTTCTTTTCTCACTTTAGACTCGAGTATAGTCCTTTCATCTTTTCCTCCCTCCTCTTATAATCGTTTCTCTGCTCTCCTGATGTTTTCTTGCCTCGTCTTGTTTTCTTTGTATTCAACTTTTCCCCTGTTGCTTTTTGTTTTCTGAGTCCCCCCTTTTCACACCAATCCCCCCGCCCCCTTCCATAACAGACACAATGTGTGTCAAATTGGATCTTGATATGGAAATGAAAAACTGGAACAGAATATTGACACATGTTTAAAATGACACACCTCCGGTACAGACTTTAGTGGACTAGAGACAAAGCAATACCAGTGGGTGAGAGTTGTTGTGACTTCCAACTGCCTCTATAGTAAATGCAAGCATGGGCACACTTATTCTACCTTCAGTTTCATGTCTTACTTTCCTTCTCCAGCTGGCTTGAGGACTCATGATGGGTTTAAACAACAAAACAAAATAACAATATTCGTCTTAGAGTACAGACCTTCATGAATCAAACATATAAAAGATGAATAAGAACATTGTATCAGTAATTCTACAGTTGCCAGTAAACAATTGATGATTGCAAAGTAGTAAACAAACAGTTTTTGCTTCAATTAGAAATCTTTTGATATATAAGACAACATTTATATGTGTTCGTATCCATAGTGCTTTATTTCCTTTGGTAGTTTGATATGAAACCTTTCAGCCATTTGACTCTCTCTGTGCATCTAGTAAAGGTTGCTTCCATAGTTCATATTTGCAACATTAACAGTTCTTAAGGTTGATTTACTTTGCATCAAGCATTTTCCTGGCTGTTAGACTTTAGTTGTACATCTTCGAATAAACCGTCCACACCAATATTAGCCAATGGGTACATCATGGCAAAACATTTTTAAACGTACTCAATAAGACCTTGTTTTGTGTCTTTTGTGGTCGATAAAGTTAGTAGTATGACAAAAATAAGTAAAAAGTTGCGACGTAGCGGCAGCACATAATGCTTGAGCCCTTTTTCCATATTTCATTCAAAGCTTGTCATTTACTATGATGATCACAAAGCAGTGACGTGCGGTGAGGTTCATGGCTGGTGAGGCACTGACTCTATCAGTCAGATTTACAAATGTTATTATATTTTGACCTAATCGGAATATTCTGTTATTTTCAAAAGCTTTTTCAGTCTGATGCTTCGATTCATTTTAAACAGACCGTTCAACAAAAGGATACCCACACAATGTAGTTTCATTTAAATATTGGATTGTTCTCTAGTAAGATCCCATTTTCAATAAAATGTTGGATTTACCTTGACTTGAAGATGAAGTCCATGCGCCTATCCTTCTGGACAAACATCTCTAATACTTTGTTGTAAAAGTCCTCCTTATCTTCCTGTAGTTTCAAAACTCTAGCTTGTTGTTTGCGTCTACCGTCTCTGCGTAGAATAACAGTAGCAACAAGATCCTGTGGGCTCACGTGTGGCAGATTACTGTCTGCCTCACCTTGAGTCTTTTTACTGTGCTTTTATGTCACATCAGCAAGACTAAATATCTCAAACAGTGACGCACATACATTACATACATTAGCTAGACTATGGAAAGTCAGCAGGACGCATATTAAAGTCTCTGTAAACATTATATTGGCGACATACAGAGTGATAGCAACAGGCACGCGCCAAATGTATGCGTTCAACCTATGTTTCGAGGGATTACGCAATCCGAGGTGAGGCTCGTCGCTGCCTCATCTCGCATCTCTCATCGTATGGGAACTGAAAATACGCCATTTCAGCCATTTTTCCTACAAATATGATCAAAATTATTGGAATCATACAGAAAATACATTTATAGCACAGACCAGTGGAGAAATATTATTATTTATTTCATTTTATTGTTATTTGTATTTTTACTTTTCATGAGTGCCTCACCTGCCTCCCCTGACCGCACGTCACTGACACACAGTATATTTGCTTGAATGAGTTGAATGCCTCTCCTCACCACATCTCTCTCCGTCTGTCTTCAGGGTCGAAACCTGATCCCCTCGGCTCCGGGGAACAGTCGCCTGAACTACACGGTGCTGATCGGAGAGACTCCCTGCATTCTCACCCTGTCTGAGAGCCAGCTGCTGTGTGAGTGGCCCAACCTCACCGGACAACACAAAGTCACGGTGAGTCATGCTCCTCTGGTGCTCCGCCTCTATCAGGCACATCCTCATCTGACGTCACTTCCTGAAATGATTCCGTGCCATTTTGGACCAGAATGCCTCGAATTGATTATCCGAAAGAGTCCTCGCTCCAAATTATGGGCTGAGACCTTCATGCTAGACTTCTTTCTTAATCCATTTTTTTACTACTTATCTTTCTTATTCATTAAACAACTGGGTCAGGTTTTAGTATGCCTGATTAATTCCAAAAAGCAGTTTATAAAAGGACCAAAAATACCACCTGCTCTACTTGTTATGTGCGCACTGACACAGTAATTCATGTTTATGAATATAAAAACACGGCCGCCTGACAATCTCAGCCCATAATGTCACTCTAACCTTGTTTATGAGTTATGTGAATAACCCTTTCTAAACAATTTCCTCTTGACAGATTCAGCATACGCTTCATTGCGCTTGCACACCAAGGCTGCTGTTAAATATTTAACGCTTAATTAACATGTTGATCTTCATTGGCCTTCAGATAGCCTGTTGCTAAAGTGGAAGTTTCAGGAGGTAGACCCCTGATGAATACCAATGACGGTACATTCAAATACAAAGCACAGATATGCAAAGTTAAGTGCTTAAGAGTTACATTCGCTAAGGGTGTTAACATCCCAACTCACAGGGAAATCACTTTTTCACATAACGTGTTGAAACAGGAACACCGTGAACGTTTGCCAATTGAAAACCATGCTTGTGGTCGAATTGTCAAAACAATCAATTTTCCTAACACATTTTCTTAACCTCTTAAGCACGGCGGTCCCCCCATTGGACCCCTCCCACCGTTTTTGTTTCGAGACAATGTCTCAGGGCTTCTTAACATTTATGAAACTATTAATGTGTAGCACCAGATTAACGGGAAGAATCTCAGCTAACTGAAGATATGAACCATTTTTACCAAAACAAAACACAAGTCTCATAAGAAGGGTCTAAATGACCCCTGAGCGAAAGAATTCTAACGCACTGCGGCACACAATTCAAGATAAAGATACCCTTATTACTTATCGTAGCTGCACATACAATATAGCCGATTAAAGCTGAGACTCCACAGATTATGTAGGTATAGTATCATCACTGAGCGATCCGAACTGGCGACAGGGGAAGCAAACACAGACATCACAACACGTACCTTTACGGAGCATTTACGGCAGATCGTTTCACCGTAGCTGTCAATTAGGTCAAAAGACGTGTTCAATGGCATTAACACTAGAACCGCCAGAGATTTTTTATACCTAAAACCACCACCTGGGTCAAATTGGCCCGCTATTAGAATGCATTGATTTTCAAGGTAAAATGTTCTTTTATTGAACAGTGAGTTTTGATCGCACAGGGATGAAACGTATACCAATATAATCTGTGGACTCTCAGGGCTCGACATTATAAATGGCCCGCTGGCCCGGAAGCATTATTTAGACACCGCGGCCAGCATAACGTACTTTCAACTCGCCCCACAGCTGTTTGCTGCGGAGCGCAGCGCGAGCAGTCTCCCGTGAGCGGGAGCGCACTCCTTCACTACAGACTGTCTCTATGTCTCTCTCTCTCTCTATCTATAACTATCTATCAATATATCTATCCATCTATCTCTCTCTCTCTCAATCTATCTCTCAATCTATAAGGAACCGCAGTAGACAAAAGGCGTTGCTATAGCAACACGTCATGTTTATATGAAAAGGGGTGGGGTCAATATGACCCGCTGGGCGGAAATAGGTATAAATGGCAATTTTTTGGGCGATTTCTTCAATCTGACTTCATATTGACAATTTTTAACAACATAGGGTGCTACATAACACACTTTCAGGAAAAGTCACGGACTGGAAGACTTTAATATTTTATTGAAAAAAAGTTACACACAATAAAAAACAGCTCTGGGTCAAATTGACCCGATTGGCGGTTCTAGTGTTAAAACGAAAGAAAAAAAATGCTACAACTGTTGATCCATAGGTTGATAATGTACCTGTGCCTTTGAAAAAATTATTTATAATCCATAATTCCATTTTTATGTAAAAATCGGAGCGGAAAAGTTAGCTGCTAATGGTAGCCACCAGAGTGTATGCAGCTTCCGGGTTTTGGTAACGCGTCACTCTCACTCCTTATTTGTTAACGTTTTGGTGTGTATATAACTTTCCCTCGATTCCATTGGCTCTAGCGGTTATAAAGAGATTTCATTCATCAAAATCGAGCAAGGGGGGCCAGAGATAGGTCAAATCCACCCAAATTACCCCAGAAGTGGGGTTTTTTGGCTAAATCTCTCTAAAAAGGTCAAATATCACTTGTTTTGCATCAATCTTGATACAGGGTACTTATTATATGTTGTACTTTGGATTCCTAAAGCTTTTAGTCTACTAAAGTAAAAAAGAATTGTTGGACAGACACTATAATTTACAGTTTTTTACTATGTAAAATCTGAATTTTCTTTAAATAAAAAACATCTATATTGATTTTGACTTTTCTACATCCAACTCACAGGTTTATCATTACTTTGAGAATAAAGATTATTAATTTAACCCTTTTAGAAGGGAAGATATGGTCATTTGTTCTGGGAATGTCATTTTCGAGCCTGAGACCTGAAAAACAGGCTCAGGGCTTAACAGGTTAACCTCAGTGAAAACATGTCATGCAGTTAAGGAGGACAATTGCTACTCAATGTATAAGCGCATCTAGATACTTCCCCCATGCGCTCTTATCATGTTTTATGTTGTTCCATGCAGGTTTCATAAACAAGGAAAACATTAAAAAATGCGTTTTACTTTATAACCAAGGTTTGAATTAAAATCAGAAATGAAAGAGAAACTAATGGTTGCTCACGCTCTTTCCTACACTCATGTCCACACTCTATTTATCGAAATGAATGGTAATATGATTGTATTGCAATTTGAATAAAAAATACTTTATGCAATATATGCATTACTTGTTTGGCCTACATATGGTTTAGCGTGCATATCACCATTCAAACATGTTGCATTAAACAATATAACTTAAGAACCCCCACACAACTCAGTGAAATGTTGACTTTATTTTATGATTTACAGTTATTAATATATCGTTCAGAGTTTTCCTTTTGGTTTAACAAATGGTTAAAAGTTCCACTCATATGGCAAGCTATGGCTGAAAATGCACAGTAACAATGTTTGTCCCTCACGATGGGTTGTATCTGTCAACAACGGAATGGTGCGTCATTAAAAATATTGGAACAGAGACTGGTCCTCTTTAACGTTTGCTAAAGGAGTCTAAAGTTATATACATACCTTCTTTAGAAGATAAACTACAACTGAATTTGAGGCAACCATAAGTGAAATTAAGATAAAAAAAATGCATGAGTTTCCACTATCTGCTACAGTGTATGTCCATGACAAGGGAAGGTCAGCAGGGCTTTGTCCTACACAGTCATGCAGAAACATAAAAGGCAGTATTAAGAATAGAATTGTTTCTGCAGGATGCCGCTGATATGCAGACGCTAAGCTTGTCTCCGAGCTCTAATCCAGAACCCACGTTCACTGTATAAAGCTTTCTGATGTGCAAATTGTGTCTTCCTTAAAAGTCGTTGCCACGTCATCACTGAGATATACTTCCTGTTTCCTATGTGAAGCTGCTACTTTTTCCTATCACCTCCCACAGTGTGAATGCTGTCACGTTCATGTCTAGAGGTTCTCAAAAGTGTGACACAGTGTTGGATAAAGTCAGAACAAGCTTGCGAGTGCGTCCCGCGGCAAAGCGTTCAGCTGTTCTTGTCCTGAGCTGTCAACAGACTGCAGAATGACACGACTGATTCACAGTGACGGCAGCAGGCTTTCAGAATCCCTGCGCAGCTCCTGGAGCATCGCTACAGCGGAAGGTCAAACCTCAGCCAGGAGACGCAGAACTCACTCTGAACATGCGGATGTTTCTCTAAATATCCCGCGAGTACACCCACCCTTTTCTAAACTCATCACCAATGTCCTTTCACAGTCATTTCCACTATATCTTTATGACATTTACTCCCCGCTAGCTACAGCCAATATACCTAGAAAGCCCCTGACAGCGCGTCCATGTAATTCAATATGATAGCTCTCAACGCAACCAGCCAGATCCAAGAAGGAACTGGAATTTCTATCTTTTTTTTTTAAACAAAATGTCATGTCGAATATCGGAGCGGTGCAATGTGTTGGCGGGGGTGGTGGAGTTAGTCCTTCGTCTGACAATCGCAGAAGAAAATATAGAGCTGTCTGTTCGGATCTCTTCTGCTGTGTGTGTGTGTGTGTGTGTGTGTGTGTGTGTGTGTGTGTGTGTGTGTGTGTGTGTGTGTGTGTGTGTGTGTGTGTGTGTGTGTGTGTGTGTGTGTGTGTGTGTGTGTGTGTGTGTGTGTGTGTGTGTGTGTGTGTGTGTGTGTGTGTGTGTGTGTGTGTGTGTGTGTGTGTGTGTGTGTGTGTGTGTGTGTGTGTGTGTGTGTGTGTGTGTGTGTGTGTGTGTGTGTGTTACTATAAGTGTTTGAGGCCTTGTATGTTTGTGTTTGCAGAACGCTGCAGAAAAAGGACACAGCTGTAGCACAATAATATTCCCTGTGTAGAATGACCTACATACAGGGGACCCCAATGGGTGTCCAGACATGTGTGTTTGTGTGTGTGGGGGTACAGAGTGTGTGTTGGCAGCTGTGTGCCTCCCTAGAGTTTTCGAATAAATATTTTTGTTTTGGCCTTCAGCTTTTAAAGTTCTTCCGTCTGTCATTCAGTCTGTCAGGAGAATAAAAATAGACAAATGCCTCGAAAATGTGTCACCGATGTAATATTGATTACACTTGCTCAAGTCAAGTCATCTGAGGAAATGATCTCCCCTGGATGATCGTACTAGATACAGCAGTGACCTATGATAAGATGATCAATTGGTAATGTGAATGGCAAAAAGCAACGGTTTGTCTCCAAATGTGCTGCTTTATTGATTGCATCATGCAAGACCTACTGTACATCAAATATGTGCGTATTCATTTACCAGGTAATCCGTTTTATATCATAAAAAACTGCAAGTCCTTTACCTGACTCATGCTTGGAGTGGCATCAATAAGAATATTGATTCGATTTTTATATCCCAAATTGGTAAACAGTTTAGTTACAGCAGCATGTAAATGCACAATAAAAAAAAAACAACAACACTAAACAAACGGTAAATACAGTATATACATATTAACACTAAATCTATAGAGAACACATTATAAAAATACACTATTTAAAAAAAAAAAGTAAATAAGTTAGAATACACAGAAATGTACTATTACTACTAAATATACTATAAATATGGGATATCAGCATTTTAAATTGCAAAATATTTGCAGTTTTAAACTAAAATTGAAATGCAGTGAGGTTTATTCAACTTAAACATTTTTTGTTAATAGTTAAATAAAGGGCCTTTTAAAAATGTTTTCTTTCTTCCGAAACACATTTGTGAGACCTAATAAATATATTTTCTGACACTCCCAGTTCACTGCGCTCATTTTGACTTGGCTATAGTATGAAAACAACAGGACATGAGGCAGTAAAAACATATAACATTAACTCATATATGTAATGTTATAAACAATGGCTCCATTCTATTCATTTGTCCCAGTAAGCCTGAATGAACAAAACCTGAAATTGAAGCAGCTAAATTGAATTCACCAATAGTTTATTTTGTTATGTACTTTTTTGCTCCACCGTCTGTTACATGAACAAATGTATTCTGTGAGAAGGGGCCTATTTGGTTTTAGAATCCTCTAATTTCCTCTCACTGTTGATCTTTGAGATCTCCACTCCAAGTGCTCTTCTTGAGTTTAGGTAACCATATTGCCACAAAATCCCATCCAATGCTGACACTGCAAAGTATAGTAACAGTATAGTTGCTGTATAGTCTATAGGAGTTACCCAGAAGCCTCTCCTTTACTTGTACTTCCTTTTACAACCCATTAGCTGCATATTGAGGATGATCAACCAAAGTCTAGATACATTTTAAGTTGGCAATAATTGACTTTTTTTCCCCAGTTTTCTGAGAATGATCTCACTCTATACTGTAGCTCCTAAATATTTTACTATGTTCACAGCTGGTTTCTCAGTCTGCCGTTTGATGCTGGGCAAGTAGAGTACAGTGAAAGAGAAACAAGTTTTTAATTTGCTACATGAAGCTGCATCAGCATATTGAATAGCAAACGCTTTAAAGATCTTTTATCAGAGTAGGAAGTCTTTCTGTAACCTAACTAATCCAAACTCAAACTATAGTTGGTTTTTGTATACAAGTTAATTCAGTTGAATCTCCTCCTTTGCAGCCTGATCATGTCCATGCAGCTAATTGTCTTCCTTATCTCCTACAAGCCCTTCTAATTGTCTCTACTATTGCAAATTAAATATGTAGGTATTGCCTATTGATATTGATATAACCACTCTCTATTTCTTTTTCTTAAGTCATACTTTGATAATGTTAGCATGCAAGTGCACTTACCAGAGCTTCAAAGTGCATAATCACACCTCATTTTAATCGCTTATCAACCCCCCTTGTTGTTCGCTTGATTTGATGGATTCCAGCGCTGTGAGCTTTTTTCTCTCTCTCTCTGAGACGCACTGCGCTTATGTAAATCTATTTAGTCAGAAAAAAAAACATTACATGTGTTTGACTTCCCATAATTACCAAGACTCCTTGGGGAGGGATTTAAATGCTAGTGATTACTTTGTTTGATTACTTATACTGTGTGTACGTGTGTGAAGCACAGCCTACACACTCTCTGACCTAAATCAGTTTGCTAAACTTAACCTTGATGGATGAGGAACATTACCGACTAAATATCTATCTTAAAAAACCCAAATGTTAGTCCTTAATATGTGCAGAAGGACGTGAGTTCTTCAAAGTTAACTTGAGAGATCTTCATTACCAAAACCTTCTGAAGGTGCTGCCCTAAAGGCAAGACTTGAAAACCTTTCCGACAAGAAGTGTTCACAGCAGCCTCCAGGTGATGTAAGCTCCCCCCCGATGTCAGCCTGTCAAAGGATCGGCTGTTTAGTGGGAGTACAGAACGCATACAAGTTTAATGATGTGGTAGAAATCAGGTCAACCAACTTCTCTTTCATCAGACCACCAGCCTTCCATTTCTTTAGACCACCTCTTCTGTTCCCGGAGTACCTGCTGCAGGAGGCCTGTTCGGATTTCTGACTCTTATACAAGATCAAATCCTCAACAACAAAAATGATGTTTAAAGTAAAAAAAGTTGCCTTTTTCCTGTGGAGGAACTGCATGTATGGCAACGTGCTGGCCAAGCTTGATTTGGAATGTCAGATACAAGAAAATATCCTGGGAACAGATTATACAAACTTCCCTTTTCTGAGCTGTCATAATGATAGAGTAACACAATTAGAAAAATATATGCAGGCTTCATATGGCAACCATTTGAAGACCCCTCTGGCCTGACTACATCATACTTTAGTTATTTCAATGTAAATATGTCCAATGCTTCGTTTTGCAGGGTGATTGTAAAGTTGTGACTTTTTGTTGAGGTGGTTCAAAAACGATGAAAGAGTGTTACATATTTGGAACTGGAAATCATTGCCAGAACCTCAATCTGTAAAAGGAATTTTAAAAAGATAACTTGTATATAACAAAGTAACAAATATGTGTGTTGTTTTTTTCTCCACAGTAACTACCAATTGCCTGTCCCTTCACTTCTGTGGTAGAGCTGCGTTATTGGCAACACACTGGACTTTTGATTGATTTAGAATGTCAGATAGAAGGAAATATCTAAGCATCAGCTATAGAAAATACTTTTTAGACATGATGGACCCCTTTGGACTAGACAATTCTGCATAATTAACAACATTGAAACTGAATACAGCATACAATACTACATTCAATGTAATTCTGCCCTTAGTAGTGTGTTTATTTTTCCTTTTTTGAGTTCCAAAAACTATTTTAAAAAGTAGAACATTTACGGAACAGTGGGCTAACTTGATCGGTGTCAGAACTTTCATTTGAAATAGTAACAATTTCCCTGAAAAACGTTTTAGTATTTAAACATTAGGAATCTGTGTGTGTTCAGATCCGTGCTGGAGGGTTCGAGTACTCCCCCGGGACTCTTCACATCTACTCGGACAGCCTGCTGACACTTCCTGCCATAATCGGCATCGGAGGGGGGGGCGGCCTGCTTCTGCTGGTCATCATCGCTGTGCTGATCGCCTACAAGAGGAAGTCGAGGGACGCTGACCGCACATTGAAACGTCTGCAGCTCCAGATGGACAACCTGGAGTCCAGAGTGGCTCTGGAGTGTAAAGAAGGTAGGAAAACAGTGTGATTGAACCTTTGTTCATCAACTGTGTGAGATTACTATGCTAATTGAGTATGAAACTATACTTGATTAAAGACAGGTTAAACTTTGAAGACTCCAGGAAGTATGCAGAGCGTTGAAGCAAATGTTCGTAGTGGCCAAACTGTGGTACGACAACTTCCGTGTCCGTCTGTGACGTCATTGGATGCAAAATCAGCTACCCAGTCCTAACACTTGAAAAGCCCTCATAAAGTGCGCTACATGCCATGTTCAGAATTATTTTCACTCTTCATTCTTTTGACTGAGCCAAGACTGGCTGTGACGTGGCGGATTGGAGGCGGGGCTTATATAAAAACGCAAATGCACATGCTCTATTCTCCCTTTTACTCGAAGGTCCCTGCAAGATCCAGGTTTGTTCTAAAGCAGGGCTCTCCAACACGCAGCTTTTCAGTAGCTCGCCGCTCGATTATCGATTATAGCGTAGTAAGGTTGCTTATTGATTTTTCGGCCGCGGCTGGACAATAACGTTTTTTTATTTTAGAATTTTTTCTGTCACACGAATATCAAATGGTCGGTGACGCAGAGATCAAGGAACAGACGTGACAGCAGCACAGCGACAACACACACGGAGCAGTCTGCTTTCTCCACCAACACCAGTCCAGAACTAACAGCAGAATGACCCGCTCTGAATCAGGCCCTGTCGCTGCGCCTCAGAGACACACAGGGAGGGATTTGTGTTTTTTGAAAAACACTCGTTATCGTCATGTCAGGTTTTTGGTGGATTTAATCAAGTCTTGGATTGCAGAGTATGAATGTCCTCTTGCTATTTTCAGTTGATATATACGTGTGTAAAGTTTGTGAAGACAGGAGGAAAGCTTCCGCGATCACCGTCTCCTCTCCGTTCCTCCAAACCCCGCCCCCTCCCTGAAAATAATGAGTGACAGGCTGATAGTGACCCGATAGAAAATGTATTATTCACTTAATCACTGATTGAGATATGATGAAGCTAACTTAATCTCATACATTCATGGGATTTATGTAACAGTAAGACAGAGAATGTAAGTGTGCACCCACATGCAGTATTTTTGTTTTTATAATGCTATTGTAAATACTCCTGCTGTTTTCAGACTCAAGTCATGTGTGTGATGCCACATTCAAGACATTCAGTGTCCTTTTTTTAACAGAAGACCGTTGCTAGAAGCTGCAGCTAGACTGCAGAAGTATTAGTTTTTTGTTTTTGAGGATGGAACCATTTTCACACACAGATATAGGGAGGCTAGACCTATACAATTGATTTATTATGGTTTATAATTTAATGTCAAGACGAAGAAGAAGAAGAAAAAGATGGCTGAACAACTGTTCAGTGTCAATCCTGTGGAGATCTCCAAAATAATGTTCAGCTTAAGTCTCAGCAAAACTCACAACATTTCTGGAGCCTTGTAGACCCAGAAAACTATAAGAACATTCACCAAGCAGCACTGAAAATGTCTGCTTTATTTGGTTCTGTTCTACATACCTTTGTGAAGCAGCTTTTTCTGACATGAATGAAATCTAAATACAGAACAAGACCGACTGATGAACATTTAAATGACTCTATTAAGTGAACCTAAGTGGGTCCAGCATACACCTCTATGGTGGACTGCATGCAGTGCCATTCATCTCACTAACAAAAGAGTGAAATGCTTGTAAGGTGGTGATTAAGGACACTTATGTGAATGTTCAGTGATGTACTTATTATGTGGGCCATAATAATATGTGAGAAATCTTCGTTTTCTTGGACCTTATTTTTGATAAGCTTTAGGTATTGCAATTTCACACGTGTACAAAAGTATAGCTTAATTCAACTGATGAGGGCTATGTGAATAAATGTAAGCGATGTGATGCAAGTAGCTCTTGGCCACTTTCATTTTTTGAAAGTAGCTCTCAGATGAAGAAAGGTTGGAGACCCCTGTTCTAAAGAGTCAGGCGTTTATTGCTTTTTCTTCCACTAAGCAACTTTTATAGGAATTAAAAAAGCCCTGCCTCTAACACTGTATCCAGTTCTCTTCATACATCCATGTTCTATAGTCTTGACTGCAAAAGTTGAATGTAATAGCCAAAGAATACCACGTAGAGAGAGATACTCCATTCAGAGATGCAATCCAAAGCAGCTGGATGCTGCCGTCATCACTGACAACATGGTTCCTGCAGGATGTGTTTACTGAGGCAAATGCATCACTGCGTCATAGTTGAGTCATTGCAAGTAGAAAAGTATTTTATTTACAAAATATGAAGGGTTGATATAACATCAAGCAGCCAATTTAGTGAGCGTTATAAAACCATCACCGCAGCAAACAGCCAGGAGGCAAACCAAATGGTGCTGTATGGATGGGCAAATGGCGGCCCCCACCTCTTCTTTTTGCGGCCCTTTTTATAAACAACGTAATTAATAAAAAAAATAAAATAAAAAAAAGATTATTTTGTATTGTTTTACTTGTACTTATACCGTCCACTCAGTGGCGACTGGTCATTAGGGGCAGGCACACCACCTAGTGTCAGCAGAAAGTATTAAAATAATAATTACAAAAAAATGCAAAAAAGATACAGCAGGTTTACTCGACATTGAGAAACGGCCCCTGTCTCTCACTGTCTAAGTGAATGGGTGCTGTAAAAACTACACTGCGCATGCTCAGTGTCTTTTTCTATTCAATGTGTGGCAAAAAAATAATCGCCATTGGGGCAGTGTGCTGACATACCCACCAAACGTCATCTCATAATTCAGAGCTGATTGGCTGTAAGTACGTGTGCCGCGAAAAGTGTAGTGTGTGAAGAGGAGACGAGAGAGCTGCAGTGACGCGTCCTAAAACCCGGAAGTAAGCTGCGCATGGCTTCCCTCGACAAAAAAGCAATGAGATTTCTCCATAGGATTTTAGAAAATAGCTGTAAATAAGATCTGTGGGAAACGTACCTGTTAGATAAATGCACGTTTTGTTCAGCCGGATAATATCCACATGTCTACCCTACTTTTATAATTTTCTAATCATAAATCTATCAATTAGATTTATGATTCGACTTTTGAAACTACAAGAAGATAAGGAGGACTTTTACAAAAAAGTAATAGAGATTTTTGTCCAGAAGGATAGGCAAATGGACTTCATCTTCAAGTCAAGGTAAGACTGCAATTTTATTGAAAATGGGATCTTACTAAGAGAGAACAATTCAATATTTAAATGATAAATTACTTTTTTTGCGTATCCTTTTGTTGAACTCTCTGTTTAAAATTAATCGAAGCATCAGACTAAAAAAGCTTTTGAAAATAATACTATATTTTGATTTAGGTCAAAATATAATATTTGTAAACCTGAAGAGTCGTGCCAGTGCCTCACCAGCCATGAACCTCACTGCACGTCACTGCAGGAGCTTATATATATTATAAACATCTAAGTTTTTTGTGCCCCACCACTTTTGTACATATAAAAACGCCACTGCGTCCACTAGACTCCTAGTTACGTCGCGAGCTGCGTACATGATTTCGTTTGGCAGCCAAATACCGCACAATAATCTGTGACGCGTTTGTGTTTCTTGTGAGTGTTTCCCGGGGAAACACTCACAAGAAACACAGGCTGTTGTTATGCCTGCTGTGACGTTAAATTACCGCGTGTAATTATGCCTTTACAAGCTTCAAAGTTGCATTTATCATCTGAATTTGGCGAAACAAGTTTAATATTCTAAAAACCAAGACTTTGTTTATTTGAAATCAGATGAAAACAAACTGTCACGGACCCTGCTGTGTTATCTATGATTACTATACGCTTTTCATTCATAATTTCAGCAGAGAGTTGACGGGTGCCTGTGTTGACACTCCCCTTATTGTGCGTCAGCAGAGACAGGCTACAAGTGTCTTAGGTTCAAGTTAGACAACTAATGTCTGGGTAGTGTTCATGACTTCATGTTTATTTCATCTTAATTGTTAATCTCAATGCACACACATTTTCCGTGCTTTCCAATAGTTTAAAATAGTTTTATTCCACTGTTAAATAACCTGTTCAATACAAACATGCCACTTGTGAAAATTAAATAACATTTCTGTGAACTGATATTTGTTTAGTGAGCTTATTAGAGGATGTTCGCTGAAATATTGTAAAATGTCAATGAAGAACAACATTTATTCCTGTGATTAATTTCTCCCTACGTGTTCCCTGTTATTGTCCATCCGTACTGTTTTTAAAACCTTTCTATAGACTATTTCATGCATTTTAAGGTGTCTTTGGGTGCTTTGAAAGGCGTCCTTACATTTTTTAATTATTATTAACAAATTGATTTATGATACTCTTTCAGTCCTATTTAAAAAGAGTATTGGTGCCTCCTGTGGCCAACATTTATATTACAACATCAAACAAACTATAATATCATCAATAACAACTTTTTTCCCAACCCTTAACCAACTGGAAACAAATTGAGGAACTTGGAGAGATTATCCTGAAACAAAAAGTGTTTCACCTCTTACATGATAAACCTAAGAAATGTATCACCAGGTTTTTTCAGATAAAGATGGAAAGCATCAAAGTAGCAAGGGTGTTGTTTGTCGAGAAAGGAGAGGTAGATGAGAGATACACATTTGGACAGGAGACATATTGATCTGAGAGGGAGTTTGGATGACTGATGTAAGGACAGCCAAAGTGTTTACAGCCAATAGAATGACACAGCCACCCAAAGCCATGGAACAAGGTCATAACATGATTACACTACAGCCACGATCATCTGCTGAACAACCAACTGGAACAGAGCTGCAGTTCAAAGTGATCCGTGCACGTTTACTGACATTTTCGGAAAATGTGCTCTTACCTTGTATCCTTTTTGATACAAGGTAAGACAAAAAACATATTCTTTCCTCAAAGAAAAACCATTGGAGTCGGTAGAAAAGAAAAGCACTCCATTTTCCAAGAAATGAAGCATGGCCTTATTCCCACCCGCCCCGCCTGCTGTACTCCCAGCTGGCCTGTAGAGGCGAGACAGTGTGTGTGGGCGGAGGAACAGATGAAGTGGGCGGGCCGCAACGCATGTGTGTGTGTTAGCAAAAGTGTATGTGTGTGAAGTTGGCTCCGCTCTAGGAGTCCTGAGGGGACGGGACAGGGGACGTTTGATTCAGTCATCTGTGAAAAGCAGACAACACCCCGTACACATCCTCCAAACTAGCATATTAGCAGTCATGGATGATTAGTTACACATTAGAAATGCTGACTGGCAAGTGTCATGTTTTGAGTCAGTATAGATACTGTTGAGACGCTTTATGAAAGCAAATACAATGGAATGGATTTCCAAAGCATTGTTTACATTTTTTACGTGTACTCAAATCAGAAACATATGAAGGATATCAGGAAAGACCACCAGATACACTGTTCACAGCAGCCGGATTAAAGCAAATATCACCCGGACATAAAACCAAAACCATGTGGCAGCAACAGGTGATTACAATGTATTTAAATGTTAACTGGTGTGTTCCAGCTTTTACCAAGAGGTAAGGTTTATTTGAAATACTGCAGAAACTCTCCACTAGTCGTGCACATGGTTTTATTAGATGCGTTACATTAGGTGGGTGTTTCCTCTACTTCCCTGGATTGTTGGTGCTGAACACCTCTACATTTCTAAGTGATTTAGACATTTTTAGTTATGCCTTAGTTAATTCTAACACAAAACTGCATTGTCATGAATATAAAAATAGTCCAGATAAAACAATCATATTTCCCTGCAAATAAAACTGTTTTGTAAAGAGATGAAATGCACTCTTGGTCAATGTATGACCGTTAGCCTATGGTGGCTAATGTTAGCTAAATATAGCAAACGTTAGATAGATATAGCTGTAACTATGCTAATGGTAGCATTATGATTGCTCTCTGCCACGCAGTCTCATTAAGATGTCTTTGCTACTACAGATTCTTGAGAAAACTGAGGAGAATTTACTATCTATTAAAAGCTTATCACTAGTGTTGCAATTCAGTGAAAGTCAGTCATAGTCTCGCTTTAACTATATTTGAGGTATCTTGATGTATTATTTAACAGACATTTCAGTTAATCAGAAGCCATTATTATGTAAGGTGTATCTTGTGTTTTGCTTTTCCCTTTTCAGGCAGAATCATTTGCCATTCGAGCAATAAATACGGAATTAATGAATGAAATAATCGGAGATGGGAGTTTTGATGACAGAATGTGGAAGGAGTGAAAACATGATGCAAACCTCTCGTCTTCTTTACCTGGATTTATATTTGTCACACACCTCTACCTCCTCATCTTTCTTGCTCTATCCACTCGACTTTTTTTCCTTTCTTCCCTTTATCTTCTCCGCTTCCTCTCCATCTCTCTTGTGGACCAACCAGTCCAATAACAGCTGGGAGAAATTATGCATGAAAACTCATCCGTCGCTCTCTTAATAATTATCCACTCATGCAATTAATTGACTTTCCTTTCCAGGAACTTTGTTTTTTGTCTCTGGTTCTTCCTCTTTCTCTCTCCTCGAGCTAGCTCTGCCTTTTTATTTCATTATGTTTGGGCTTTTTTGATTGGACAAGCAAAGATTACATTTATCGGGTCTAAGACACCAAAGAGGGAATTAAGTTCACGACAGTTTAAAGTCTTGTCTTTTTTCTCCCAGGTGTTCTTTCAGGATGTATTTGTTTGAAAAATGTTAGAGAAATTACAATGGGGCACTTTTAATCACACTTAATTACATGTCCTTCACTTAAGTGAATTTGATTGCTATATCGGGATTTGTTATCATTCATTAATGTCTAAAAACCCTTGCTTCTTTTTCTCTGAATGTATTGGTCCTCTTTCTTCATCATGGTGGAGCATCATATAATTACTGAATTACCCTCCAACCTCTGCTTTTCATCAAATAATGAACTCCAGATTAGCAGTGATACACATTGATAGTATCAAGCTGGTTTCACTTACTAATTCAACAAAGAAAGTACCTGCCGGAAAGAAGGTATTTTCTTTGTCACAGGTTATATCCTGCAGCAGTGAGTGAACCCCCGCCAAATTTGGACGGTAGTGTTAAGTGCTAACTGACGCCTAGCAACCGCATTAACTCAGTTGCTACAGGACATCAAGGTCACACGGTTTATTCAGAATACTTTTTTACTCCTTTTGTTTGTTTCAGAAAGAGAGTATATTTTCGGAGTAATTGGCCTTTGAAACAATAAGTGTTGGTTTTCTGGATAACTGTCAAAGAAATGGGTTCTCTGAGTAACGGGCCATCGCAACAATGTACCATTGCAACAATGGGCTATTTCCCATCTATACCTAGCTGTAGAAACATCCAGTGGGAAAGCAACCTTCATTTGGGACCCTCTAGCTTTCAATTCCCCTAAAGGTCGCCAATCGTGAGTCAATTTGCTGTTTGTAACGTGAATTCCAGTGTTCACAAACGTCAAATGTACTTAGCAACAGTGAGAATGGACGAGCATATGAACCTAGACATGAACAGTTAATTGGACCTTTCAAACAAGATTAAACTGCAATGATACAGTCTTTAAGTCAAATAACAGAAATAATACTTTTAAATCAAAAGGCAGAACCAAAGGCAAGTCCTTTACCAACTGTTCCATTTAAACATGTTTTTTCGCCATCCACCAACACTTTCTCTATTTGTACATTTTCTTCGTAGCTTTTGCCGAGCTCCAGACAGACATCCATGAGCTGACCCAGGAGCTAGACGGAGCTGGAATCCCCTTCCTGGACTATCGGACTTATGCCATGAGGGTCCTGTTCCCAGGCATCGAGGACCACCCTGTGCTCAAGGAGATGGAGGTACGGGTCAGTACCCCACCAACCAAGCTTGAAACTAAAACCAACTCACCGTCAATAATCAATTCCAGTAGAACCGAGAACTAAGCCTTTGAACCAATAATCTAACACCAGAGGTAGAAGGAAGTGGTGAAATATGGATTGAATGTCCTACCAGCTTTATACCCTTGTAGCTATTATCCTATAACAGTTGTCATCAAAGACACTCATTCTGAGATGTCAGACATGTTTCACAGCAATTGTATAACCTGTGTTTTACCTACTTGGTGTTGATCTGCTGAGCGTTCTCAATCAATGCAAATTACTTTTCAAGAGACATACTGTCATCATTAGTTTGATTTCATGGGAATAACTCTCACCATATTCTCTTGATGTGGGGACGCAGAGTTTTAAAGTGCTTGAAATGAACTGAAAATAAATGTTATGTAAGACATACAAGAAGATAAAGAGATGTACAAAAAAAGGTGCATAGCTAAGATGAAGAGAAGGAGGATTAGAGCAGAGAGATTCAGGGTAATGAGGATTCTTACTTGCATTATACATCACTGTTAGGTTATTAATTAAGCCTGTACATGCAGCCACCTTGCCAGCACAGCTGAATGGAGACAGTGCACGCGATTTACCGCTGAGACCAAAGGAAGTACAATTAATAGTGTGTCAACATAAACTACTCCGCTCCAACGCTAGAAACCAAGAGAGCCAAGTTTGTAATCAGCAGTATCATTAAGATGTAGAAGCTGGTGCCGCTTCATTGACTTTGATTGGAGCGCTGACTTTTTGGAGTCGAGGAATAATTTGTTTGACCTTTTTACAGCTTCATTTAATCGTTCTAATCCAGAAAGTGGATTTATACTCCTAGAAAAAGAAAAAGCCCTCGGGGCGGTCTCAGAGCTGCCATGTCTTTTTCTTTTTTGGTTCATTCTTAGCGATTCATCCTCTCTTATTTTTGGCTACAAGCAACAGTGGTGATTACTTAAATACAGTAGAGATATCCTCAGATATGGAACAAAGCCCATTGTGGCTCCCACCAGAGACTATAGCGCTATAACTATCACAACTCCTGATAATGCAGAATCTGAAAGAATTAGTAGTTAGAACGTCTTATGTAACAGGCAAATCAAATGAAACTCTTTTAACCATTGGGCCCCTCCTCTGTATTTGGCTTAGCACTTTTGCAGATTGGTATAACTTTTTGTGACATAACTCGATAGCATTTGATCAAATACGAACCTAATGTTAAATACGCTTATCACATCTAAATCCTTTGGAATTTCTTATTGAGTTTTGGCATTCAACTTTCATAAAGTTAAATGTTTTATTGCCGGAGAAACCAGGAATACTATACAGTTCAAATGTCACACCTAATGAATGTGCACATCTTGTAGATAGGAGCTGGAAATGAGATAGCCACTCAGAATATATAGTTTGGATTAAATATTATGGAAGAGGCGTAACCTACAATTGTCATAATTACATTCTCATACCTCTTCTTCTGCCTCTAAATATTGATATTATGAAATGATATATGAAAAGTTTAACTGGGAGACACCTTACCATTTGTTAGAGAGAGATATCTTAAAGATAACTGCGTGTCTCAGTGACACAAAAAACAAACTTGAAAAACAAGCGGGGTAAAATAATATATATTCTCTAATGATAATTAGACAATCAAAAATAGACATGATATGTCAATGTAATTTGTATTTAATATGGTTTATTTATTTTTATGTATATATGTTTCTTATATACAGTAATGTATTCAATATATTATTAGTTTTTTATTATTATAACGTTATGTTGTTAGCAGATAGCTTTAATTAGCTAGAACTAGCATGACCTCTAGCTTGGGGCAATTGGCATACCGTTGAAAGCTTCAACCAAATGTCTTGTCCATTGTAATGACTTAAAATAAAAAACAATGGAGGAGAGGGGGTAAACATTTTTATTAGTGATTCACTAATATCCAAGCTCCAACAAACATTGGGGTTTTCATGAATGGGAACCATATCTAAAAATCGACCTACCCTGAACTGCCATTTTATAAATCCTAATATCATCATGGATAAATTGGATCACGTTGTTGGTCACCTCGCAAAAGTAAGCCATGCTTAGCGCCCAGCATGAATATGCCCAACAGCTTATATCAACGATTTCGTCACTTGTAAGCTCTTTTTTTCAGAAACATGACACTTCAGTAAGGTGTCCCCTGTTACAAATACAGTCCTCCTTTAATTTGAGGTGTCAGGTGGGCAGGAGGTAAAGGGATCTTACAGGTTTTCTAGTTTATGTCTAGACTTCCTTCCCCTTCTCTCTGTATTTCCCCCAGGGGTTGCCAGCGTAATCCAATGGCCTGTGTAAACCAATGCTACTAGCTTTATTGCTCTGTGTGACTGGGCTCTTCCCTAAGCTAGACAGTCACACTACACACCAGTTATCCTCACACACACACACTCACACACATACACACACACACACACACACACACACACACACCACACACACACACACACACACACACACACACACAGTGCATCAAATACACAGATATATTCTTGCAGATGCCCTTCCTAATGCTCTCTTTGAAAATGGGTAAAGACTATGCCTGTGGAGTACGCACATGCATCTCCATCCGTCTCTCTCTCTTCTTCTCTTCCACACACACACCCATCACTCTCAGTATCCACCCTGGAGGCCCCCAGAATCTCATTTAGCACTTTAGAGAGAGGCCCAGACACTTTATTATAGCACATCGGAGGAAAAAAGAAAAGATGTAACAGTGGTACAAAAGGATGACGATACAGAGAGACAGAGAGAGAGGAGAAGGTGTGTGTGTGTGTGTGTGTGTGTGTGTGTGTGTGTGTGTGTGTGTGTGTGTGTGTGTGTGTGTGTGTGTGTGTGTGTGTGTGTGTGTGTGTGTGTGTGTGTGTGTGTGTGTGTGTGTGTGTGTGTGTGTGTGTGTGTGTGTGTGTGTGTGTGTGTGTGTGTGTGTGTGTGAGACACACAAAGACAAAGAGCAGGAGAAATTAAAATGGGAGGAAGAGCAATGATGTGAAACAGTCAACAATAAGTGCCAGGGAGAGAATTAGAGCGGAGAGGAAGAAGGAGCGACAGGGAGGCGTCTTCAGGGGTTTAGGGTGTTGTTGATGGGTAGTGACAGGTGCCAGCCAGTGGAACAAGCAGGGAGCACCTCTGTCACACACACACACACACACACACACACACACACACACACACACACACACACACACACACACACACACACACACGCACACACACACACACACACACACACACACACACACACACACACACTGCTCTTCCTCTTCATCTCTTCCTCCCTCACACCCGTCTGATTCAACTTTGGAATTTTTTTTCTGTTCAAGGAACTTAATGTAAAATAAAATGGCAGTGGTAATATTCTGAGAAACTAACTTGGATTAAAGTCAGATATTTAAGAGAAAATAACATTTTAAAAGGGTTGTTGTGTATGTATCTACATTGGCCCAAACATGATGTCTTGAGTAAAGTTGTATCTATTATGGCTTTTTCACAAATAAAGTGTAGCTACATCAGTATGTGAATATGGATGTATTTCATTAAAAAAGTTGAACTACTGGAAACAAGCTGTCTCCTGTTCTGGCATCATCATCATCCCTTTCTAATTTGCATATTGGCTTTTTAAACTATTTATAATATCATACATGCAAGCTAACATACACGTCTTAAACTCAGATTTAGAGTGAGTTCTTTGAAAAGAATCCTGGGAATTTTAAAAGGCAGAGAAAACACGCATTCATATTATAATAATAACATGTTTTTACATTTGTATTTGTCTTTCTTTGAACTCTTCCCTCTATGTGTGTTTCTTCAGGTCCAGGCCAATGTTGAGAAGGCTCTGACGCTGTTTGGCCAGCTGCTGACCAAGAAGCACTTCCTGTTGACGTTCATACGAACCCTGGAGGCACAGAGGTGTCTGTCTTTACACATTTCGTTATTTTAATAATAGAGGGTTTTGGGCTACTTCATAAACAGTGTCTTCCAGTTTTGAAAAATAACTTCAAAGCAAGCTTAAAATTAGCAATCACTCAATAACTTTTTTCATTTACCCACATGATATTTCCAGCTATGGGAATAGGATCATGTAAATGTAGCATACTGCATGAAATAGTAGGTAATTGGATTCAGACAAAAAAGAGGGAAAAGAGGATAACCTGACTTTGGAAAGTATGCTTTTATCACCTGCTTAATTTCAAGGAAAGTGACATGAAAGGCCGTGCTGCCCCTTTGATTAGGACAGGAAAGGCAAATGGATAAACAGAGTAGAAACATTTTAGCAGCTCCAAAATTACCCTCAAGCACTTAGCCAAATGGTTTGTGTTAGAACAGGTGAGACACCATTTGATTAAGATTAAATGTGCATTATTATTAATAACAGCTGTTACTGTTGCTAGCAGAAACAATGCACAACGTGTTTTGGACGTAACATGGTCTGTGTTTACATTACCAAGCATCGCTAACACTCAGAGCTAACCTGTACTTGAGAGAGTATGTGTAAAAAAGCAGGAAATAAAAAAAGGAACTCACCTTATATTAAACCCACAAGAAAAAAAGCATTTGAGCTCCATTCTGTTTCAGAAATAATCCTTGATGTGGTTTGGAACATGATATGGCGTTTAATCACGGCAGCATTTAGCTATATCTGCCGGTAGAAATCTCTCTCTTCCCTCTGCAGCTCACAGTGTGCCTTTCCGTGCTCCAAAGGGGGCGGGGCCAGCAGTTACAGACCCAGAATCGGGCCCGTCCACACGGCGGCGTGCGTTGAAGCTTCAACGCTTCTGCCCATTCACTTTGAATGGGGTGACGTCACGTTTCGCCGAACTGCATTGTGGGAGCGAAGCGTAGCTTCAGAAGCGTTGCTCGCTGCAAAAGTTGAGCAATGTTCAACTTTTGAAGCTTCGGCGGAAGCGTCAGCCAATCGAATCATATGCCAGTACAAGCTCTAGCCAATCAAACCGTGTGCTTGTGTGTCCGGGGCGGGAGATTCATGTGATTGGTTCTTGGTCGAGTTTCAGCCCCCCCCGCCGGCAAGCTTTTAACGCCGTGTGGACGGGCCGTAACGGTCCACACGGCAGCGTGCGTTGAAGCTTGCCGGTGGGCATGTCTGGCGTGCGACCAACAACCAATCACATTAATCTCCCGCCCCGGACACACAAGCACGCGGTTTGATTGGCTAGAGCTTGTACTGGCATATGATTTGATTGGCTGGCGCTTCCGTCGACGCTTGAAAAGTTGAACTTTTCTCAACTTTCGAAGCGAGCAACGGAGGCAAAGCGACGCGACGGAACCACAATGCAGTTCGGCAGAGCGTGACGTCACCCCATTCAAAGTGAATGGGAAGCGTCTCCGTTGAAGCACGCGACGCTGACGTGTGGACGAGGCGTAATAGGGCTGAATAGAGGGATATGAGAGATGTCTAAAATGCATGATCTGTTTGGTATTTTAAGCAAAATACATCATAGAGATGTTTTTTATATATTTGTTTATATCTGAGACCCATAACATATGCCTAAAAATAGCATGATAGGAGATCTTTAATAATAGCTTTTCAATGCATTTCCAGATCGTTTTCCATGAGGGACCGCGGCAATGTGGCGTCCCTGATCATGACGGCGCTGCAGGGGGAGATGGAGTACGCCACCGGGGTGCTGAAGCAGCTGCTGTCCGACCTTATCGACAGGAACCTGGAGAGCAAGAACCATCCCAAGCTGCTGCTCAGGAGGTGAGCACCATGATGAAAACTAATATAGAAAACGCTGTTAAACTCCACACAGAATGTAGTGAAATCAACTTGTCATTTACTTCATATATTGTAGTGTTCTATCTTGGAGGTCTGTTGACTTGAATTAGGTTCAGTGAACACACTGCAGAGGCTTTACTAAACTCATTAAATGTAGTTTCCACGGAAAGAGGATTAGCATTACCGCTAACGTCCCACCATGCATTGCTAGAGGGAGAAAACTCTATTACTCTGACACTGTGCTTTTAGTGGAAGAAAACACACATTGTTAATATTATGAAACAGTTCTCACCGTAACAATGAAAGTTGTGTATAGAAGTCACATCCCTATTGGCCACCTGCGGTCTCAAAAATAGTTCGTAATAAATGGCATTCGAACAATCACTGCAAAAAGACTTCAAGTTAGTCTCAGTGAAGGAAAGCAAAAAGCTTTGTAATACAATACCCATACAGAACTGTCGTGACTTGTAATGAGATGTAGATCTCTCCAAAAAGCGTACTACGAACGAGAATGGGAGTTGGAGTGAACATACCTCCACCAAGGCTATTTCCCTAAATGAAAAATAATGCTTGTGTTGTGTGTATATATATTGTATGCCCTGATTCAAATCCACTCCAAAATGTAACTGGTTGTTCCTTGGCCCATTCATACCCCTTTCACCAAATATTGTGACATTTTTCTTGGTTTTTTTCATAATCCTGGTGACAGACAAAAACAACTAGAGACCAAGCAAAAACATAACCTCAAAGGCAGATGTTATTATGTCCACAAAACTATCATTGTTTATATTTAAAATCATGCAACAAGGTTGATTCATTAGAGCTTTTCTTTTTATAACGTCCCATTTTTTTCAGAACGGAGTCAGTGGCTGAGAAGATGCTGACCAACTGGTTTACCTTCCTCTTGTATAAGTTCCTCAAGGTAAGCCCAACAACCGTTTTGAAACTTCTTTCCCTATGCAATCTGTTTGCTGTATTTTGAAAACACAGATTTGTATTGTCATGTTGTTATACTGCCTGTGTGTGAGAGGCTTTTAATAAATGCAGCTGGCTTATATTATTTTCCCCATACATTTATCTCAGTGCTTTTTGTAATATTGTACCTTCAGATTTCTTGCCTATAACTGAATTATACCGACAGTAGATCAGTAAAGCTTCTTCCTTTCTGCTGTTTTAATGTTTTTTTGGGTGCATGGATCCTCTCTACTGTCATGGTTTCACTTTTGTATCCGACACGTCTCCTCCTTGATGTCGTTCCTTTATCTTACATCTTCTCCTCCTCTGATCTCTCTTTGATCGGCGCTGTCATTATTCCTCCGTCAGTCCCCTCTCCGCCTAAAGGTCATTTGCCTCGCCATGGGGTGCCATGTTGCTGTCCTCACATGCCCCCTCCTCTCATCATCCTCAACATCCATGTCCCCACTTTTTTATCCTCACTTTTAAAGGGCCTGCTTAGAAAAAGCGCATCTATTCATAAAATAGTCTCTGCTATGTGATGAAATAAACCCCACCAGGGATAATTACAAACAATGCTTAAAATGACAAAGACAGAAATGTATTTTCTTAAAAAATAAAATAGAAAGAAAAACATTTTTTTAAAGGGTTCTTTGAACAATATATGAGTGCCTTTTTTTCTCCAGCTAGAAACATATACAGATGTATATCAACTCCCCAAGAAAAAAAGTACCACAATTAAACCAATCAAATAAATAATCCAAATGATGCAGTTCACAGACATAATTATGGAAAACCAAAAGAAAAGTACACAAATCTCCATAACAAAAATATGCTAATATTTATTCTGTGCTACAATGCACAAAACATGTCACTTAAATCCCAATAACTTTTGTATTTCATTAACTAGAGAATAGTGTATCCACAGTGCATTGCTGCTGACCGCTGGCTGTTAGCGGTGCAGCATCTGATCTCTCCTCAGCTCCAGCATCATTATCCCTCTGTAATGGAAATGTCAGCATACAATCAGAGAGCCGTAATGAAGCCACTATATGGAGGAAAAGGGAATTTCATAGACAGGCATGCAGCAGCCGAGCACAGGAGGCGAAAGGCGAACCGAAAGCATAACAGCTTATCGTGATGTATGCTCCCTCTGCCTCGTTAGCAGCTGCCAGCTAATTGGCCCGGATGCTAACGAGGTTCTCGTTAAGCGGCGGAATGAGGAAGTAAGGAGGGAGAGGGAAGTGGTTGGTGGGAGAGGCGGGAAGGAGGAGAGCATGGGGTTAGAGGTGGTGGGGAGAGAGGGAAATAATAAAGAGGGGCATGACAATTACGAGGGAGGAAGAGGAGAGGGAAAGGGAAAGGGAAGGAGGTGAGGAAGAAGGAGGTAGGAGACAAAGGGGAACAATTGTGATGGACAGGAGGAGAAAAAAGTCAGGAGGAAGCAGATTGAGGTAATGATAGGGTGAAGTAAAAAAACAAAATCTGCTTTCGTAGTTTACTTTGAACCTATACTTAATTTGGACATGTTTTTCTGCTTTCCTATTCAAACCTGTATTCAAATGATTTGCCTCTGTCAAGAATAACTGTTTCAGGCTAAAGGCCATTTTTGGAAACCAAAATGCTTTTTAAAATCACTGTTTCTCACTAAAACACATTGTGTGTGTCCTTGACGTCTTACAAATGTAATTGTACTTTCCTCCTTGTAAAAAATGTGGAATGCTGTTAAGGTGATCAACAACTCTGGATAGGTTTCAAATGGTCATATTTTAATATCACAATCCATATTGTGTTTAAAGATTAGCCGTTATGTGAGTATTTTCAAGCTCCATTTATTTCATCATCAGTGCAGAAAATACCGGCTCATAGCTCATTAATCCCAATAGATGAGCATTGTATACATAGATTTTTAACAGCTTTTGTAGTAGCTACATAAAGAGCATATGGTAAAATAAAGAAAAAGAAAAAAAAACAGAAAAAAAGGAGGTGGTGTGTGTTTGAAAGAATAAGCGAGTTTTGGAGTGTGCTTGAAGGTGAGACTGATAGATTAGCACCCTCCCCTGTTCTCATCTGGACCCAATGCATCACACACACGCACGCACGCACGCACGCACGCACGCACGCACGCACACACACACACACACATCCAGGCTGAAGTGTCTCCACTGCACGGTGGATCATTAAGCTCTCGTCAGGCTGAGTATTGGCCGTGATCTGTCCTCTCACCCCCCTTAAACTGCCGCTGCTTCAGTCCCAGTGTTTTCCTCGGGCCCAGCTGATGACTAATGACACTATTGATTGGCAAGTGTCTTTGATGGAGGGAGAGCGGGAACAGATATAAAACATCTGTGTAGCTCTGACACGCAGACGAGAGGGGGAAGCGGATATATTTATGTAACGCTGCTTACAACTCAGAGACAGGAAGTGATCATTTAGGCTCATTCACCCGATGCTCACACCAAAATTCCATGGCCGTCCACAATAAAAAAAATTATGATTTGACTATGATTTTCTATGTGCATCTTACAGGCTGGATTTCCAAATCTATTGAATTCTCCTTTAAACTATACTTATGTGGATTTGTATTTCATGTATAATTCATGTGCAATGCCATATTAACACGCTGCCTTGACAAACCAATTTCCCAAATAGGAATCAATGAATGAATTCAAAAAATCTAATCTAATCTGCCATTAGAAGTCTGATCGTATAAGCAAGTTGTGATTTGGTTGACCTGTCGCTTAACGCCCAATATCGCAAAACACCTTTGACTCAGGGGGCTTTACAAATCCACTAACATGAATGACAACAAATACTATAATATCAAATACTCAGGCTTCGTCTGAAGAGTAGTCTTACTCTGTAAATAAACTGTAGCCTACAAAATTATTGTTTTTTCAAATGACTTTAACAGATTGTCAGATTTTCCAGGATTCAAAATGTTACAGCAGATCAAGTGAAGTGTGATGTGATTAAATCAGCCAGTAATACTTTAAGTGGGCATGTTATTTTATTTGTTTGTTTACATGAATAAGCAAAAACTCAATTATAGTCACTCATTTGTTTTTGCGTTGACAGTTACTTTATTATTTCTCTTATCGCTTGCAAAATGTCTTCCTAGACATGCTCAACACACATCAAAACAGCCCATAATGAGTCCTTATTTAATCACACTCTATGCAAATCAGATGAACTGCGACTGAATGAAAGAAATGTGAAAATCCTGTGCCCCTGACACTAATTTGCGACAGCCTTAGATATCACCCAGAGCTGTCAGAAAAGCAGATGTCAATGCTTTCAGTGTGTTATTAAGTCGAAAGATGCACCATTTTTGTATCCCCTCTTAGAGTTCATGCGATGATTCATCGGAAAGGAGGGAAGAAGAAAATGTAGAGTTTATTATGGTTATTTTTTAACATTACATTTCATTAAGCTGAACCTTTAATCCTAAGCGTCCTACAATAAGTGAGCGTTTTTTTATTTTATTTAAAACGATTTTGTATTCATTATTTCATTAATAAGCTCTTATATATTGTATGAGGTTTTTACCTACAGTAAAGGCACTGATTTTCTCAGATTTTTCCTTTTTCTCAGATTTTCTTGACATTTCCTTTTTTCTGGTCTGTTAGAATCTGAAAAAAGAAAAATCACTACTTTGGATGAACTAATGGCAACTTTTCTCTTTCTGTCTGCCCCCCCACCAGGAGTGTGCCGGGGAGCCTCTGTTCATGCTTTACTGTGCCATCAAGCAGCAGATGGAGAAGGGCCCCATCGACGCCATCACAGGAGAGGCCCGCTACTCCCTCAGCGAGGACAAGCTCATCAGACAACAGCTCGACTACAAAACACTGGTCAGTGAAGTCACCGTGTGCCTCAGGGCTAAGCTATGGTGAAACAAGTCCTCAGAGCCTCAACTTGGGTATACATGTTATTGTCTTAAAATACTCCAATTCAGTTAAAAGTTCTGATTGTAATAGGTTAAAATGGACCTATCATGCTATATTTGAATAATATAGTGTAGGACCATACCTATATAAGGCATATTTATACTTTTTTTTTTTCAAAATACCAAACAGATCATGCATTTTAGCCATGCCTCATTTCGCTCAGTTTGACAATTTCTAGCTCTGTTTTTGCAAGGGCTGATTCTGTGAGAACAGCACCATCTACTGGCCTGGCATATGTACTACAGCGTCTCCAGCGCTTTCGAACGGCAATGGCCGTGGCTGTCTCCTCCTGATTGGTGGAGTTGGCCCAATAGCCGTAGCGCCACCATCCTGACGTCAGGACAGTGTTCAAATCTGGATCAGTTTTTATCAGATCCGTTGCAGCCCCTTTTTTAGAGATTTGGGTATGGAGGAAAATAGAGAGGGTTGTGTTTTCTGACACTTGGTGAGTTCCCTGGAACACCGGGGACACATATTCATGTGTAAAAGACGTACAAAAGTGCATTTTGCATGATAGGTCCCCTTTAAAGAAACCGTTTTATCAACAAAATATACTTTAAGCATCAAAAGTAAAAGTACTCAGTATGCAGGATGGCTTTTTTCCTGATTTAAATTGTTATTGAATATTATTTTTCTGTTTTTATCAACAACAAATACATGTTTGGTATAATTATTTTTGTTGTAGTTTATCATAGTTTAGCCAAAGTGGGTACATTAGTAGTACAGCACTGCATTGACCGCAAATGTACTCAAATACTGTACTTAAAAATAAGTAAAAATACAACTTTGAGCTACGCGTACTTAACTTAGTATAAGTAATAGTAGTAACTATGGGTTATTAAATAATTTCCTCCCAAAAAATAGAAGTTTGTATCATACAACAATAAAAGTACTTAAGTAAATGTACTTTCTTACATTCGAGCACAGGGTCTGAATGACTTGATGAGTTATTATGCTTTAGTTACAACAGATGATGACAGCTCAAGCCCTAACTCATCAGCAGCTCAAACATGGCGGCCAACGTTGAACGGGTTGAAGGGTAAACATGGCGCTTTAGCATCATTTGTGTTGGGAGGGAGAACGTGAACTCCTGCCCAGCTTTTATCACGTTCTCCCTTCAAACAAAGCACTCCAGGATGGGATTGGAAACATAGACATAACTACTTGTAATCAGGGTCTGCTACGGTTGTTTTGGTTTGCACCCAAGTGTGAAGGCCGTGTTACAATAGCAACAAAACTGAAGGGACTAGGAAAATGTCCAAGTTTTCAAACAGCTGCTGCAAACAAACCAGGTGTGAAAAGGCTGTCATGTACATTCGAATGCACCTTAGTTGGCCGTGTTCTGGCTGTGGCTATGTAGCATCTCAGCATTAAAATGACCTTAAACAACCAGACCTACGTTATATAATTTGTAGGGATGTGTACTGCATTATCAACAGATGTTTTCAACAGTTTCCAAACCTGAAGAAGTGAGCGGTAGGCACACACATTGAAGAAACAGCTTAAGACAGTGTTTTTTGTTTGTACACACCATGTTTGTTTTGGGTGGAGGAAACATCTGACAATAATTCGGCTCCTGATAAAAACTTCCTGAATGTCTTGATGTGACGTTATCAGAGGAACAAGTTGAGCAAACTTATTTGAGACAGTAATTCCTTTTGTTGTTACAATTTGAAATTGCGTGGTCAGTTTGTTTTGGAAACCTGTACAATGTATATCTTGTTATTGATGTACACTTAATAAATTCTTATTAGGGGATTCTCACCTCAATGAGTGCAATAATTCCATGCTTCTTTACAACACCACAAAGTTGTGTCTTTTGTTATTGCTTTGAGTAGGAGAACTATGTTGGCAGAAAATTGGATAATTTGCATTTTAACTTTCCACCTTGTTTTCCCGCCAGACGCTGCACTGTGTGAACCCAGAGAATGAGAACGCCCAAGAGGTGACGGTCAAGTGTCTGAACTGCGACACCATCACTCAGGTCAAGGAGAAGCTGCTCGATGCGGTGTACAAAGGCAGCCCCGACTCACAGAGGCCCAAAGCCTCTGATATGGACCTGGGTAAGAGCCTCAGTACTGTACCTGCATGCATATTCTAAACTGTATGATACACAGCTGTAGTAACTGGCCAAGATTATGTAACAAATGGTAAGGTTCATTACTTTAAACTTCTCATTCCTCTTCCTGAAGAATGGCGCCAAGGTCGGATGGCCAGAATCATTCTGCAAGATGAAGATGTCACCACTAAAATCGACAATGACTGGAAACGACTCAACACTCTGGCTCACTATCAGGTACAGACGCAGCACCAAAAGCAGCCACGAGCCAGAGTTTGAACAGCTAGGCTGGTTCATCCACTGAATATTCCTGTGTGTGTTCTGGTGTTCAGGTTACAGATGGCTCACTGATCGCCCTGGTGCCAAAGCAGAACTCTGCCTATAACATCTCCAACTCCTCCACCTTCACCAAGAGCCTCAGCAGATATGGTAAGACCTCCATTCTCCATTTCACTTGACCCTATTTAAATCATTCTGTCACTGATTCCCATCCCTCCCCCCCGAATCCTCTCACTCCTCCATTTGCTCTTTGGTTATCGTGGCCATGATTGGGCTCCATTCTTTGTGAATGGCAATCCTTTTTTTATCCATCGCTATCAGCCCAGGCCAAGGCTATTTCAGGGCCACTTCCAAGCAGCCCGTAAATGACAGGCATTAAAGTAGACACCTCGATACCCAGCTGACGGAGTGTAAGAGAGAAAGAGAGAACACCTGCCCCTCAGCGATAGTCAGAGGCCCTGCATCAATATGGTATACTTCACTGGACAATTCAACTATTTAAAAGATAAATGACTCTGATACAAAATGGGTTGTAACACTCAGGCATGCAATGCTGTATTCATTGTTACTGATCTAGACTATACTAACAGCAACCTGGATTCCTTATAAAAGTAACATATCAAATGAATATGATAGTATGTCCATCTTTTTTATCCATGTGTAATATGAAAATAATATGTGACCCGCTCTATCGAAATCAGTCGGAAGTCGCAACGGCTCATTTAAAAATAAACGTGGATTTGCGTAAAAAACTATTTTTTCGGGGTTCGGGTGTTTTGTTTGATTTTAAATAAACAAAGTCTTGGCTTTCAGAATATGAAACTTTTATTTCCAAAATCACACGATAAATACATTTTTGAAGCTTGTAAAGGGAAGTTGACAGGCACCTCTCACTCGCAATCTGCTCTTCCGCAGCGCCGCACCCCCTCCCTCCGGCTGAAATTATGAATGTAAGGCATAAGTAATCATAGATAACACGGCAGGGTCCGTTACAGTTTGTTTTCATCTGATTTCAATTAAACAAAGTCTTGGCTTTCAGAATATTAAACTTGTTTCGGCAAATTTAGATGATAAATACAACTTTGAAGCTTGTAACGGCATATTTACAAGCAGAGAACGGAGTAACTTGACGTCACTGCAAGCATAACAACAGCCGGTGTTTCTCGTGAGTGTTTTCCCCGGGAAACAAACACAATATACACAAACGCAAAAATACACACACACACATACACACACACACACACACACTCACGAGCTTCCCCCAGACCAGTAATCCAAATGAAAATATTTTCCCTCCGTAGTATTTTGATCATTTGCTCCGCTAATAATCAATCAGATCGATGGATTCCAGAGAAGAGGAAACTTTGAAGGCCTTTTTCTCAAAATGATGACTCGGTGACAGCCAGTACAACAACAATCCTGATACCATTAGAAAGCTAGGAATCTCCTCTTTCCAACAGTGTATACAACTCAAAATGTGTCTTCGGGTCAATGCGACTGATTTCGATAGAGCAGGTCACATATACCTTCTCGGGTATCATTTTTACCTTTATTGGACACTGTAGACAGGAAACAGGGGTCGAACATGCGACAAACAGCCCTTCATTTATGCATTAGGCATTCTAACCATTATGCTTCTGAGCACCCCAAAATACGCATGAGCTTTTTCCGTTGTGGGCAGTTTTTGATGATTATATACTGGAGCAGGAGAGTGAGACTCCAATTTCTGTATTTAGGCCCTTGAGCAATTAGGGCCGTAAAATCAGTTCCATGATTTAATTATTTTCTTAAAACACACTTTTATAATATTTTAGATGAATAACTCCCTTTTGAACTGCCTTTTATGAATTTGGAATCATCCACAGTTTTTATTTTTTCTGCGTTTCTCCTGTATTAACCCTTAACTTGTATACGTGAGGAAACTGAACAGAACCAATAAATAGGCAGACGCTGAAAAAGCTGAAAGACGCAAAATAATGTAGTTGAATAATAATTATTCACGTGACACCAATGTGCAATGCGGTTTAGTGTAAATATATAAATAGTGCTCATAGACATTTATAAGTCTTGACAAACAAGTACCTCAGATTCTATGGTATGCTGTTGAGCTTGATCTAGTTAGAGTTGACTTGACATAAATAAGAATTAAAACATTCTAATAAACGCAACACTGAAAATGATATGTCTTGAAATCAACATGTTTTACCGTCTTACCTTGCTCAAATGCACAGCTGTAGCTATGTTGCTTCACAGCGAATACATCTTTAAAACGATGTGATTGTGGAGGTGTGTGTGTGCTCGTGCATGAATATGTGTGTGTAGGAGTGGGTGTGTTTATGAGCACGGGTAAATGTTGGTCACCAGTGGCCATGATGGGTTTGGAATCAAAGCCACTCAGCATCACGAGAGCAACAGCAATAGAACCACCCCACTCTTCTATCCCCTGCTCCCCCATTACTCTCCCGTTCACCCCTCTCTCTCCCACTCACCTTTTTGTCCCTCTGTCCATTTAGCTCACCCACCCCCCTCTTCTCCTGTCATCTCCGCTCCGTCCTTTCACCACATAGAGAGGCATTGCAACATGCATTAGCAGCTGTGTTTCTTTCACCTTCCCTTTCCCTCCTTTCCCACGAGCAACAGCTAGTCAGGAGATTTTCCTGCACCACCACGTCCCAGCTTTCTTTCCCCTCTCCGTGCTAAATGGAACAGTCGCAGATATGCATCTCTTAGCTCCGCTCTAATCAACTTTGACACTCATGCCATGAATAATTAATTAACAGACAGAAAGGAAAAACGGGAGGAGGAGAGGGAGTCACAGTCTGTGAAAGAGAGAGAAAATCATAGAAGAATCACACTCAAGTTTAGGTGATCGACATACAGAATCTGCATGTTTTATTTCTATATCACCTTACATTTGATTCAGCTAACATTTAATCCAAAGCGACATACATTAAATGCAATCAACCTTCAAGATACAAACTCAAAACAGCAAGGATCCTGCGAATTTAAAAAAGTGACACCATTTGAAGTGCTACATTAGAAGAACAGCAGGCCCCACACACTTGCTGGTTTCTGAAACTATATCAAAAGGCTTTAAAAACAAAAATCAGCGTATTCCTCCAAATAACTCTGTTTTGTGTTTCCGGCTTTAGAGAGTATGCTGAGGACAGCCAGCAGTCCAGACAGCCTACGATCCCGAACCCCCATGATCACTCCTGACCTGGAGAGTGGAACCAAATTGTGGCATCTGGTGAAGAACCACGACCACTCGGACCAGAGGGAGGGGGACCGAGGCAGCAAGATGGTGTCTGAGATCTACCTGACCAGGCTGCTAGCTACAAAAGTAAGGAGGAAACTTCACACTTTTTTACAGTCAGGCTGGAAAAAAAAACTTCAAACTGCACTTGAGACCATTGGAGAGCAGTAAAACTCCCCACTGAAACTCCGCCTAATGGAATATTTTCAGCGTTATCAGCTCTTTAAGGCGAAGGGATCCACCTCACATATTTGATGGTCTAGGAAACGACTTTTAAAGAGAGCCTGCAGGTCACTGAGGAGTCTTAAAATGTTTTAAATCACAGCATCAGAATGTAAGGTTCTCATATACCAGGTAAAGGTATATACATATAACATTTACATGAATGAATGCTATTGTCCCAAGCACTATACTGAACACATTAGTTACAATCCTCAGTAGAAACAAAGTTCCACAATAGATCAGGTATCACAATGTTCAATTCAAACTGCTTTAAAGTTGCAGCAGGTGCATTAGGTGACACATACATCTATAGAAAAGAGCCAATTTCATAAGTGCTTGACTATCTTCAATTAAATAAATAAAATGTAATAGATTCTTACAGCGGCTTCCTTCTGTACGCAACTATTATAGAGGTTGTTTTAACTTTTTAAAGTTCAAACAAACTGCCTGTTACGGCCCCTACACACGGTGGCGTGCGTTGAATCTCCCGCCCCGGACACACAAGCAGCGGTTTGATTGGCTAGAGCTTGTACTGGCATATGATTCGATTGGCTGACGCTTCCGTCGAACCTTCAAAAGTAGAACATTGCTCTACTTTTGAAGCGAGCAACGCGAGCAAAGCTACGCTTTGCTCCCACAATGCAGTTTGGCGAAGCGTGACGTCACCCGATTCAAAGTGAATGGGCAGAAGCGTTGAAGCTTCAACGCACGCCGCCGTGTGTAGTGGCCGTTATGGAAACCTTAAATGTAGATATCAGAATACTGTACATTTTCGTTGGCAAGCAAAAATGTTGCCCTTGAAAATGATAGCTACCGTCCTCTTCATCTTAGTGCTGTTTAACTCCTAAAGGCCAAAAGAGGCTCAGGTAATTAAGTATATTTAAGTGTGCTATATCCCAAGTGCCGTGCTAGTAGCTGCTGTAGGAGAGCATAACACATTTAAAGATAAAACCCTTTAAGCAGATAAGTAAAAGGTGGTAGCATACGGTATATTGACATTGGAAAAGGACCAAGCACTGATCCTTGCCGAACCACAATGGAAAGAAAGTGATGTGTTTTCCTTCCCAGGCTGAACAATCATGGAAACAATTGTAGTTTGAGTACAATTTACACTATTGTAATTATAATTATAATGGTTTGGTTTTCCGTAGAGCATTTGAGCAGTAGGGGTAACTTGAGCCTGATTTTGCATTGTGGGAAAAATATCCAAAGCCAGTGAAGCACTTATCATCTTTGTGACCACAGGTGTTGTTATGGGTGGCGTGGAAGGGTGTATTGTATTGTAGTACATTCTTGATTGATGATGAAGCTTCATCATGTTTTGGATTTACCAAACCAAATAGTGTAAAACAAAAGGATCCATTGGATACACACACACCCACATGGATAAACAGACTCATCTTGTCCATTTTGGATCCTTGCAACTTTCCTTTTCACCTTCAGTGTCTCTCAATTCAATCGGTGCGTCTCACTTCGGTTATTTTTCATTTCCTCGCTCCTCGGGCTCTGTATCACCAGAAGTTGATTTGTCTGCGCCATCTTGAGTAGCGTCCCAGTGGCCTTATTTGTGCCGGAGGACCGAGGATCGAGGATCAAGGAGTGATAACGGGGGAGTGATAATCGAGGAACTACCAGACCATCCTCCGGTGAAATCCTCAGACACTCGCCCCGCCCCCTTACTGTGTATCGCTCACTGATTGGACGATGCAGTGCATTAACTGATCTGGCTGCTGTCAGACGATCAGCTGTGCGGCGTCATCACAAACGGACGTCGCTTCACGTGACGCTCCGGAGGAAACGACGTCCCATTGCTATTAAAACTAATTTCCCTGCTTCTCGTGGTTTCCTTGCGTCTCTCCATGCTTCCCTGGTGGGAGGGACTAGTCGCAGGGAAACGACGCAAGTGAGGGACGCAAGGATTTCATTTAACCGAAGTGAGATGCACCTAATGTCTTCATTGTAAGAGGGGGATGGAAATGTAGCAATGGGCAGCATTTACAAGAGAGCACGCTTTTCAATTTCCACTGGTAATAAGGAGAAACAGATTCATAAAAATGCGCTTGTGGTGCAGAGTGCAGGGATGCAGATACAGGAGGAGTCAGGAGACAGGTTATTTGTTGAGGGATTGAAGATTTGGCCGTGTAGGGTTAGAAAAAATTAAAAAGAGGCAAATGCAATTGAGAAGCTCATTTTTTCCATGTCTCTCCTTGTCTGTCTTTCTGCGTCCGTTTGCCTGGGCATCCCGTCCATGCAGATCTCAGTTCTTTGATCTACAACAGAATTAATTCCTGTTCCATTTGGCTATGGCTGACTAAATATGATACCCAAACATTTCCTCTGTAATAGATTCTGCCAGATGGAAAAGAGTGGGAAACAAATGTGTTGTTAGGGAAATTCATTTAGCTTTATTTCATTGTATTATGTTGAAGCATTGTCATTGGTGGAAGAGCCTGCGTTCCTGTTTGTGATTCTGCAGAGCTCAGTGGGCAGAGCGAGGCAGTCACACAGCCACAGTTATAGCTGTGATTCCCATTGGGGTCATTCATATTAAAATGCACATGCTAATAGCCCATTCAGGTACTGCGATACAAGTGGCTGGAAATGGTTCACTTTATTCTGTCACAATACACAGTGAAACTATAATTATTTGTATTCTTTACCTTCTCTCTTAATAATTAACAGGAGTATAACAAATCTAAGTGAGCAGTGTTTTTGAGGGTGGCTGGATTATTCATGAGTACCAACACAAAGGTTCTCTAAACATGAATGACCAATATCAATATATTGAATACAAACTTAACAATAAACCCTTTAAAAACAAAGGTGAAAGTTGCCATAATAAGGCCAAATCCCCTGTATTCAAATGTCAAAGGAAATCAGAGACAAACTATCAGCTGGAAAGACACGATCCCAGCTCTTACCTTAGCGACGTCAAATGCCACATACTTTAGATTTTTTGATAAATGTCCATTTATACGTGTTCAGTCATAAAACTAAATAAAAAATGAGGTGCTATTTGTTATTATTTTTCTTATTAATCTTCTTATTAATTTTATAAATACAAATATATATTTCAAGTATGTGTTTTTTTTCCTATTTTAATTTAGATATTTTTCGTTTAGGTAAAAAAACTCTCTTGGATTTTAGGCATACAATCCAATGCATTGATAGAAACCAACACTAAACTCAATTCCATATTAAAGACTGGTAAAATAATTGAAGGAAAGATTTGAACAGCATGAAAACAAACTACAGTGTAATCTTAATGAACAGTTGTACCTCCTCATTATTAATGTCCCTTGTTTCCTCTCCCTCCTCGTCCTTCCCTTCAGGGCACGCTGCAGAAGTTTGTGGACGACCTGTTTGAGACCATCTTCAGCACGGCACACAGAGGCAGCGCTCTGCCGCTGGCCATCAAGTACATGTTCGACTTCCTGGACGAGCAGGCCGACAAACACTCCATCACAGACTACGATGTACGGCATACCTGGAAGAGCAACTGGTGAGTGACATTTTTTGTTTGTTTTTTGTCAGCTACAGCAGTACTTTACCTGAAGGCAGCGGCACCTACTGAGCAAGATATTTACAATATAAACCATCAGAAGAAAACCTTTAATGCACACAAAGTGATGTATTATAGACAACATTAGAAAAAGCAACCGTAGCATTCAGTTACATGCTCTTATAGCATATTTCTAAGTTACATTCAACCATCCGTTGTTACTTTTTGTTCTTAAATGTCTCTTCTGTATTGCCTCTCCAGTCTTCCTCTGCGGTTCTGGGTGAACGTCATCAAGAACCCTCAGTTTGTATTCGACATCCACAAGAACAGTATCACGGACGCTTGCCTGTCTGTGGTGGCCCAGACTTTCATGGACTCCTGTTCGACGTCAGAACACAAACTGGGAAAAGACTCACCTTCAAATAAGCTTCTCTACGCTAAAGACATCCCCAACTACAAGAACTGGGTGGAAAGGTAAGTTAAACACAGTAAGAATGACATTCAGTGCGATATTAAAGTGAAGCTGAAGTGAGAAAGCTCGATATGAGGTGTTTGAAGCCGGGAGGGTTGACTAATGCCTCAACTTCAAAGAGAAGTGAGTTAGAGTGGCGAAAGTTAATTACACTTCCAAACTACTAAGCTACAAATAACTGTGAGATTATGAGAACTTAACAGGTTGAACTTTATCTGAAGCTCACATTTGAAGCATTTCACTGGAGTCAGAGTACACAGTTTGATTAAATTAGCGTGAAGAAATCCTGTACTGTAATTACAGCCTGCTCCAGGCCCGTGAATATCAAATAGGGAGTGAAGAAAATGTCTGTAAAACCAGTTCTATCAGTTACATTTTAAACTTAAACATGTCCCTTTGACTTCGCCTGTGAAGAAGCAAGAGATGTAAACAGAAAACAAAAGTGAATGATGGAATGTTAGCAACTGTTTCTTCTTTTTTTGCTGACTGAAAAACGTCCTCTAGTTCAGTGGTTCTCAACTGGTCAGGCCTCGGGACCCACTTTTTACTTGGTCAATACATCGCGACCCAACACTCAAATCTATTCAACAAAAAATCGTGCTGTAATATATATATATACGCTTTTGAGCATACAATATTAATAAAAGTGAAGTACAGTGCATATATCCCTTATATCCCTTCACAAAACTAAAGTATGCTTTTAGAAAAGGTTTAATGAGATGATGGAATCAAAGCTGAACTATATAAAAAGGCACACATGCTGAAACCCAACCCCAGCAGGGGGGTCTGGGGGGATTCTCCCCCAGGAGATTTTTAGAAATACTAACATAAACTACGCATTCTGGTACACTCTGAGAAGAAAATCGGGCCTTCAAAATAAAAGTTTGACTTTTTCCCCCCAAAAAAAAAAAAAAAAAATCCAATTTTTTTTTTCCAACTTTTTTTTCTTCACTCACACATCCGCGACCCACTCGAAACGGGTCCGCGACCCACTTTTGGGTCGCGACCCACCAGTTGAGAACCACTGCTCTAGTTCACCCTTCATATTTTATTCAGGTCCAGGAAGTCTAACTAAACCCTGGATAAGTTTTGCACTTGCACGCATTTGTGTTGTTTCTGCTTTATGGGGAAGCGTCCAACAGTAGCTTGGGCAATGTAAAGCAGCTCCTAACACAGAATTCATTCAGAAATAATTAAGGAGACAGTATTGTGTCTGATACAGACAGTGCCAAAAACTAAGATTAGCAATCGCTAATGATTCAAAAAAGAGGTATACAATTAAATGAATTGTATATTACATCACAATTGTGCATTCTCCCTTGTTTTGGTTGCTGCAGGAGCTAAAACAGAGCAGACAATTATCCTGCCAATTCCTCTTTTTATTTCCAGCAACATACTTGAGTGTGCTACAGTAAGTCCTATAAGGCGTACAGGGAGTGTTTGCAGGCGGTGTGAGATAAGGATTTATAGGTGATGGTTAATTGGGTGCAGTTAAACCTTGTTTCTATTATGCCTCCTAACCCGCACTCAACCCCGCGCTGCCCGCTGCAGTAAACCTTGAGATAGCTGAGATATGGATTCTGCAAAACGGGTCTGGGTTCAGCTCAATATCAGGATATACTCTTAATATACTCTATTGTTTTCTGCCCGCCGCAAGTCCAATAGACGTTTTACTCCGAGGATAATGTGAATCTTGTTGCTGCTCAGACCGCATGGACCTCATAATAACAAGGGACTGTATTAAAATGATCAGGAAAGAGACGGAGGCTGAATCTTCTCTGTCAGTACACTCCATTACATCTTTTCTTATCTACTGATATTTGTTTCAAATGCACAAAAAGAAAAGACAAGGAATTCAACCATGAACATGTGAAAGTGAAATGCATGTTAAGAGAATAACAACTTTAACAATATAAGATATGTTATTCTACTGATGATATTGTAAATACACTATAAGTTTTGCAATAGTATATAAATTAGATAAATTATATCGATGATGAAAAATAGAATAAATGAAGAGATGGTAATGGGATCTTAAATAAACACTAAATAGAGAGCTCCTAGATTATCAGTTATTAAATCCAGTGTATGAGTCTGGTAAAAAAAAAACATTGTTGCGGCTTATGCATTTGAGCACAATATTTTAGCACCATCCTGAATTCCAAAAAGTTAAAATGTATATGAATTAAATGAGATTATCCTATAGTGTAATATGTAAAAATCATCGAAAATGTTGACTATCATAACTAAACCAGTTTTGCCTGAGGTGTTGCTCAAAGCATTTCATTTCTCACAAGGGTAGTCAAATATAAAGCTGGAGTTATGCAAAGTTAAAGGACCCTCCCTGACTACAAAGAACTGACTACATATTCTTACACTGACTTGCACTGAAAACATATATGTTTAATCTTAGAAAGTCAGGCATGTATAAAGGGAACTGGAAACAGCATTGGAGGCGGGGCCCCGTTTATTCCTATGAAAGTTGCTCAGTGGCGCACAAAGTCAAAATGGCCTGACAGTCTAGTACAAAAAAACGGATCATCAAGGGATCTGGGACCAGACAGCATCTTTATCACAATGTTAGTCAATGGGAAAAGTCTTAATGGGCCCTAATGACATCGGTGACTCAGACAGAAGTTGTAATACCGCCGTTTGGCCACCACAAAACCCTTTCTTCAGCTGCCAGCTCACTTCCTTGGCGTTTCTTTGCCGTCCACTCCTCTTCGGCTATACATGTCCTTGAACAAGATACTGCAACATCAATTCAACATGGAAAGTGCTCGCCAGCTGCCTGTTTGAAAACCAGTAGGTGAAGTTTTGGATGGAATAAAAATGGTTCGGTACATTAAACTCTTTCTGACCTCTCCTCTAGGTATTACTCGGATATCTCCCGCATGCCAGTCATCAGTGATCAGGACATGAGTGCCTACCTGGCAGAGCAGTCCCGCCTGCACGTCAGCCAGTTCAACAGTATGTCGGCGCTGCACGAGATCTACTCCTACATCATCAAATACAAAGACGAGGTGAGCTCCAGTGTGATCAAATGGAATGGAAAAGAACGGGGTTAGCTTTCTGTCATCCCCCATCTACTTGTTTTGACTAATGCCATGAGGTCATTTGAATTCAATTACACTGATAACCAGTCCACATTGGTAAGGGCTGGAAGGAATTATCACCATTAGGGTGCACATTAGGGGATGAGCGTACCACATTATGGAGCTAATGGAGCTTCATTAGATGGGACTTGCATGCACTGGACGTTTGGGTTCAAAATCAGGATTGTGTGTGCAGTGTTCATCTGTTAATGGAATAGTTTGTCATTTTGAGGTGTACGCTCATTTGCTTTTTTTTAATAAGATTTAGACCAGAAGATTGATACGAATTTGATCATAGCTGTCTTGTTAAACAAACAAAACAAAACAAATGTTCTGGTTTTAATTTTCTTAGCTGGACACAATTACTTTCTGAAATTTCCGCCGGGCGCTCCCTGTGTTAATAAGGTCAACAAAAACAATGACTAAATTGTTTCCTCCAAAAACTTTTTTGACATCTAAGACTAGACAATGTCGAGAAGGTGAAGGTGTAATGACAAAGAAACTGTGATTGCATCAACATGCAATATTGTTGACAAATAAAGACTGAAATGTAGTTTGAATAATAAAAACTTTATCAAAATGTCTCTTTTTTTGTTGACAAAAATATCTTGGTTGTATAGTATTAAAGTATACCCAGATTCATTTAAATAAAACAGGATGCCCTTAACTAAATTTGATTAAAAAAAAACTGAAAAGGACATTTGACATAAGAATAAATAACAAAACTAATTTGCTATCTATCACTGGTTTATTTACAACTTCACATCATCGACAAGAGAAGACAGATAAGTACACACATATATAAAGGTGACCATGCCTTTGTTTTGACGGCAAATTATAAAAAAACACTGATAATCAAAGAGGTGTTCCATTGGACCAAAAATGTGATCGACAGACCACTGAATCAAAAACAGATGTGCTCTGGTCGGATTACTCTGATATTCTCTGTCTAAACATAACCAATTCCTCTCCTCATGCATGCATCTAACTCAGGGGTCTGCAACCTTTTTGACCAAAAGAGCCATTTTGCCCCCTTTTCCACCAATTTGTTTTGTCTGGAGCCGCAAAACATATTTGATAGCTTGATAGCTTATAAAGTTGTATTTATTGTTACATCATAGACAAAAACTACAGTTTTTTTGCATGTATTATTTATTACATTATAAAACTGTTAACCTCTAATAAGAAACAAAGAACTCTTATAAGGAGAATACAAAAAAATACACAGGCCTACTTTAAAATAAATCAACACAGCACTTGGGGAGTCCTCTGCACATTTGAAGAAAATGAGGCCCACTTTGAAATAAATAAAACATATAGCTGCACCCTAAAAAGAGTTACTGAAGATCGTCAGCTGTCTTCCTCTTCCGTGTTTTTCCTCGATACGTAAAGGCTGCAGCACCTTTGAGAACTTCTCTCCACATATCAAACATACCGGTAAGCCAGCATCGTTTGCTGTGAAAGCAGATAACTCTCTCCACGCAGAATGAAACCCTCTGTGTTCCTCCGATACTTTTATTTTCTCTGATGTATCCATAGTTCGCTCATCGAGCCGGGGCTCAGGTTATTCACCTGCAAGAAAAGGCGCTGGCGTGGGACCGTAGCAGGATGTGACGCATATTTTAGTTCACCTAATTAAAACCGTTTTGTTTTTTATTTATGTGTCACAGTATCACCTCAAAATACAAGATACGAAACATTTTCAACCATGCAACAAAATATAAATAGTCCTACAAATATTTGTATTTTATTTCCTTCTTATTTATGTCTAAACTCAAGGGAGCCAGAGCAGAGGGCTTAAAGAGCCGCATGTGGCTCGAGACCCGCATGTGGCTCGAGAGCCGCGGGTTGCCGACCCCTGATCTAACCAATCTTGCATTTGCTAGAAGGAGAAAATAATCAAAAAAGTGTGTATTCTTGGTGCTTTGGGCCTTCAGAACAACCTTGTTTAGGACTACTGGAGCGCTTGGTCCAATGGGACTGAGTGTTGGGGTTATGAAGTAATGGGCTATCGCAACAATGGGCGCAATGATAATTATTGCATTTTGCATGCATTTTTTTATAAGTATAACGAACAAGATGTAACATGTTAATGACTTGGTTATTATCCTTCCTCCTTTCCATCGCTTTACATTCTGAAACCGTAATTCACCACGTTTAATATCCCACCCTCGACTTCTACCCTCTTCCTGTTCCCTATAGACAAATCTATTCCCACATGAACCTTTGCTTTCCTCAACTTTATCGTGCTTTTATTTAGCGAAAGATAGGTTCCCTCAGCCACTAACCCCCCCCCCCCCCCCCCCCCCCCCCCCCCCCTTCCTCCTGCCCATCCCTCACTAGCAACAGTATTACAGTTGTTATGCTGGCTGCTTGCAGCTGGCTCCATTCAAACCAACTGCTCCCCTTCATTAAAGCCTATTATCCAGATGTAGGCAGCTGCACGGTCTCCATCGCCTCTACCACATGCCCTGACCTAACACACACATAAACACATAAATATATACAAGCGTGCCTAACAACTCACATACACACATTTACCAGAATGTCGCACACATAAGTACAGTATTTCTTTCAAACACTGCAACAGCTCCTCCCGCCATTGTTTATGTCATACTTAATAAGATGCCAAAACACTCCTGTACACACTCCCATTAACATGCCATTATAGAAATCCTGCTGGCCCTCACACCTGCCCCCCCTCCCCCGCCAACCTTGTCCATGTTGTCAGCATCAGTTTGAAATGCAATCACTTACAGAGAAACTGAAATAAGCAGCAGAGCGCAGAAAAGCTGGTGCATCTAAGCAACAACACATTTGGGGTTAAGAAGCTCCATGCTATAGGATTGAAATAAGGGATAAAAGAAATATCTCTCCCACAAAATAATCATTTGTATAACAAATACTCACCCTGTGCTTTGACGGCGAAAGAACAATCCAAAGACTGAGAAAGGTCCTAGATGAATTCAAGTCTGCCGCTTTAACCACTGAAAAATATACTCAACGATCAGTTCACTAATTCTCACAAGACTAAGGCTGCACTCACATGATACGCGATTGGCTCTTTTCTCAACGCACGGTTGGGCGCATAATCTTGCGGTGAAAACATCCTGTTAAGTTTCATTTGTACCGTTACCTCACCTGCTAGCTAGCACCGCTACTTACAGCTGTCATCTGATTGATTGCATGTCGAGAGGTCGGTGGTGAACAAGGTCAATGTTGACATAAATTAGACTTTGAGCGGTGCCCTCAGGAAGAATTTCGAGCAGTACACAGCTACGAGGATAGCGCTTCCGCCAAGTTGGCAGCACCGCTCTTTTCAAAAAACACAACGACAACGTCAGTGCAGAGCCATTTTCTGCGTATCATGTGAATGCAGCTTTAGGCATAAATAGTACTGGTGGAATAAAGGGTGGGACGGAGGGGGTCGTTATAAAATAAAGCAAGTTCCACTACTTGTACAGTTTAATCGGTCCAATGCTAACTGAAGCTAACATGCTAAAAACGTTGTGTGTGCAGCTGGTTCCCTTTTTTTCTTATAGGGTTTCTAGTTAGCATACAACTTATAATTCTGCACAAGTTGTGTGTAAGTTTGTATATATAGATGTCTTCTTAGTTTTTGTACTTTTTTTTTCTGAAGTAATTAAATTAACTGGTGAAATTATAAAGTAAATAAGTAACTCATGAAATGAAGTAATTGATGTTTAAAAATATACCTTATAGCAGTGGTTCTCAACTGGTCAGGCCTCGGGACCCACTTTTTACTTGGTCAATACATCGCGACCCAACATTTTGAAGCACTCAAATCTATTCAACAAAAAATCGTGCTGTAATATATATATACGCTTTTGAGCATACAATATTAATAAAATAAATTGAAGTACAGTGCATATATCCCTTATATCCCTTCACAGAACTAAAGTATGCTTTTAAAAAAGGTTTAATGAGATGATGGAATCAAAGCTGAACTATATAAAAAGGCACACATGCTGAAACCCAACCCCAGCAGGGGGGTCTGGGGGGATTCTCCCCCAGAAGATTTTTAGAAATACTAACAAACTACGCATTCTGGTACACTCTGAGAAGAAAATCGGGCCTTCAAAATAAAAGTTTGACTTTTTCCCCCAAAAAAAAAAAAAAAAAAAAATCAAATTTTTTTTTTCCAACTTTTTTTTCTTCACTCACACATCCGCGACCCACTCGAAACGGGTCCGCGACCCACTTTTGGGTCGCGACCCACCAGTTGAGAACCACTGCCTTATAGTATTTCTTTATTGTGTGATGATTTAATGTAATTTAATCCATATTTGTGTCCAGATCCTGTCGGAGTTACAAAAGGACGAGCAGTCGCGCAGACAGCGGCTACGCGGCAAGCTGGAACAGGTCATTGACACCATGGCGCTGGCTAGCTGAGGACCGGCCAATAGCATGCCTCGGCTAGGGGAGAACTGGCCAACCAACACGCCTTCCCTGACAACCTTGTGACATTTTTTAAACCTCTACATTTGAAGTCTGTCGTCATCACGCTCACAAACAACGGCAGCAGGAAAAGACTGCAGGGACGCCAGCAGCAGCACACTGGAGAGACAGCAGAGTTGGGAACTAAGGGTTGGCTTTTATTTTTTTCTCTGAGCCCCGAACAACCAAATCAAGCGCACCCACAGTGGATATGGACCTCAGCTCAGGAGAGCGCTTATTTTCATTATGGCCCCCATCATATTTAGAGTCCTACGGGTGCAGCAGTTGGGCACTTTGGCCCCAATCAGGACCGGAACAGGCACATTGGTGACCAAAAACTCAACGAGCTGGATTTAAAACTAAAAAGCTATGGGAAAGCCAGTAGCTCTCCACAGCTTAAAGCTACGGTTCAGACTGAGAACAAATCAAAATCCAGGATATATATAAAGCTGCCGCGACTGCAGAGCAACCAGAAGGAATTACTTTGCAGGGAAACTTCCTCCAGTACTGACTCTCCAACCCTCTATCCACAGGAAATCCACTGAAGTCTAACAAAGAACATTTTCAGTTTCACAACTCTGCATTTGATTCCCCCCCACCACCCCCCCCCACCCCACCCCAACTGCCTATTCTCCCCAGTGCTGTGCCACTTGTGTTACTGCTGAATTTGCACAACAAAGCTAAATCAAAAGAGAGAAGAGGATATATGAATATATATATATATATATAGATATATAAATACAAAACATTTTGTTGAAGAAAAAAAAATGTTTTCCATTTTAATGTACAAAAGATTGAGAAGAAGATTTGATATTTCCAAGAAGAAACATTATGAAAACAAGAGGAAAAAGTCGTCCTGTGCCATGTTTTACTTTGAATGTCGTTTAGTGCAAAGAGACTTCTTTTTCGTTAGATGAAATGTGCTATGATGAAAAATGTTGTCATGCTTTGTGACTGACAGTGAGAGTTTAAAAATAGGTAAATGGCAAAAATATATATATTACAGACAGTTTCTATATTTCATGAGGTCCTGGGACCTTTGTGTGCTACGTTCTTGGCTCTTAAGGTAGTAAAAATACAATTGGTGTACGTGAGCCGACCGCCCTTCAGTGCTTTGTGCTTGTTTCAGAGAAACCAAATACACCAAGGCCTGGTTTAGCTGATTGAAATGACAGTAAAGTCATTTTGTGGAAGCAAGGAACAACTTTAGAGGCACCAGGTGGTCATACGAACAGTTGAATCCAGCTTCTTTATCTTGTCGGCTTCTCTTGTCTGTAAATGTGTGCACGCCGAAAACGAAGGTCTGCAGAAGAAGGTGAACCAGTATTGTCTCATATCTGACTTGTTTTCTGGTAAAAACGGTAAAGCTCAAGGTTCCACTTTTGAAATGTGAATGTGGTTTACGAATTGTAGATTGATTGTTTTAAGTGTGTTTGTACCAGTTGAAGGCCTTTCTTTCTTTTCTTTTTTTTTCTTTTTCGTCGTTTCATAAGGATAGAAAAAGCAGCGTTTCTTTCCAATGGGTCCACATTTCCTTGCAGTGCTTCAAAAAACATTCATAAACAAGACATAGGAATAACCAGAGTACGACTCCTGTACGTATCCCTGATTGTTTGGTTTAAAAAAACAAATAGCAAAAAAAGTGACAAATGTAGGATCAAATGCAGCACAACACGATTTTCAAGGAAACTGTAACAGGTGCCTCAAATCATTTTCCTTTCCTTCCTCTTCTCAGTGCTTCCCTCTGATTTGTTCCCCCATGTGAGACAGTGGAAAGTCTTTAATCAGCTGATACCAGATTCCTCTGTGTCAGTCCAGATCAGATAGAAAAGAGCTCTGCAGGTGCATCAGGAACCTTGCTGAAAAATGCCAGTTGTTTCTGACATAGAAATTGTGACTGCAGTGAATCAAAAGAAAACTCCCAGCTTCCAAGCACTTGATAAATCGGTTTTCACTAAAGACCTGCTCACTTCCTGTTTTGTCATTTCCCAGTGCTATCGCATCCAACTAGCATATATTGGATTATTTGCTAATTTCAAGATAGTAAAGAAATATCATGTTCTCTGATGGTACATTCACATACTCAAGGAATAATTGTAAACTTAAAAAGCCAAACGGTTGTTTAAAACTAGTTAAGTTATATTCAAAATAATACATATGACATGAAATAACGTATTTTGTTTGTTCAAGTGACATTAACCGCAGAAGTAGCTAGCAGTTCTTTAGCAAATGTTAAAGCCATCTCCTTCTTTGTTTTTTCCTTTTTTTGTCGGGGTGTACTCACCAGAGTACTTACCAGACCTGTACCGAACGTCACACATTGCTGCTGTCAAATGAAAACTCTCGAGTTTAAAAGTCAATCATTTCCCTATAGATTAAAAATGATTATATAACCCTTTAAAAATCCAGATCTTTAGGTATTAGCCTCTAGTTCTCATCAACGTGCTGTGTTTTGATCTGACAGCAAATATGTGTCTGGACCGAAAGAAATGTACTGTATGTGATGTGCTCCAATACTTGAACTACTGATCTACACAGGGTAAAACAACATACAGACCAAAGCTTTATCCATTCAAATCAGGAGAACATCTCCATGACAAGAGATTATTTTTGATCCACCTGCTATTCAGTTCTTCCACTAATTGATTTTATCACTCAGCTATAGTCATTTAAATACCCCACTCTTTGACGTTATTAAGTGTCTTTATGCTTGATGAATGGTGAAATTGAGGCGATGTTACTTCCATGTACAGGCACTCATTAACTGTTCAATTTGTATGAATGACATGGACCTCTGTTTCGATGTTTGACTGCATATCACTGGCTCAATTTTTCTTTTGATGGAGATTTGTGACAATGATTTTAGTGATGTGCAAACAGTAATGAGGCTTAGTTAGTGAAGTAATGTGAAAAAAAAGTTCAGTAAGGCGCGATAGGAGGCCCATTTGGTCTCTGGTGCTTTTGTTTCTTAGTTTTGCTTCTTTTTTTTCTGCTTCAACACTTGTTGGGGTAAAAGATAAAAAGACTTAGGCATGGCAGAGGAAGTGCTTTGAAGGCCATGGTACTGCTTCATTTTAAATGGCGTTCGACTTCTACACAGAAAGAGACATTGGTGAAGGAGGGAGGAGGGGGGTGGAGGAAAAGGCTCTCTCGATGATTGGCGAACACAGAACTGTTCACTGTGCCTTGTCTGGCTCTTCCCATACTGAAAAACATGTATTTTTTAAGAGTGTTAGATACTAGTGCAATATTTTTGTGAAATGTGCTCATTTACTTTCTTTCCGAGACTGAAATGAGAAGTAATCCAATGTCAGGACAAGATTAGCCTAGATTAGTGCGCAAAACGAAAGAGCTAACCTGGCTTTGTCCATATATTTAAAAAATATGCAATCTTAAATGCTGGCTAAGCGAACCTATTTATTTACCCTTTAGCATACATGATGTAAAATGTTATGTATAAAGTGACATGAAACTATTTTGCGCACAGTGACTAGTCGAGAAGAATTGTGTTTATATTATTATTATTATTAATAATTAATTATAAAAAAAAAATGTGTGTCACTTTACTTGAAACCCTCCCTGCGTTAGCCCTTATGCCAGGCTAACTACAACCTGACATTCACTTAACAGGGCTGAACATGCAGAGAAAAGATAGATTGAGGGCTACCATTATCCGGGCGCCGTAATAATGGCAGCCCGCTGCTCCTAACACTAGGATGGGTCAAATGCAGAGAAACCGTTTCGTTACATAGTACCTGTACTACGTAATGACAATAGGTTGAATCTAATCTAATCTAATCTAATTATCATCCTACTCTTGAAGAAAAAAGTGGACAAGAAAGATGTAAGTAGAGTGCAGACCTCCATGGCCAAGGGTATATTTAAGTGCTGGGAAGTCTATCTTTAGACAGAAAACAAAACATGGATGGTTCAAAGAAAATGTGTTGTATGTTAATGCTCAGAGCAAAAACACTTATTTCTTACCAAGTAGAGAGGATTAATACCAAGAGTCATATCTGTTCGTTAACTGTATGGCTAGAGCCAGGATGTAGTTAGCTAGCTTAGCATAACGACTGGAAACAGTGAAAAAGAGCTAGTTTATTTATCTTGGAAGGTTAAGAAAAGTGTACCACATGCACTGCTTAGCTTGTAGACACACTTTAGCTGGGTTTGTTTACTTTGAGAAAGAGCTGGCCTTGTTTTTTTTTACCTGCATCTAGTTGTACTGCAAAGCTAAGCTAATCTTAGCGTAGCTATAACTTGCAATTTAGCATACAGATATGACAGTAGTTTTACCATCTTACTCTCAGCGAGAAAGTTAGTAAGAGTGTTTTTTAAAAACGTTAAACTTTTCTTTAGATTAAAAATGAATAATACATCAGGGAACCAACAAAAATGTTTGGTATATTCCTAAAGCCATGTCAACACATATTCTGACGTGTGTGTGAAATGTACTTGTTTTTCAGTATGTGCTGCACCTTCCAACATGGCGCCTCCTCAGACCCACAAACACTCCAACGCACAACTTTAATACTCAATGTGCCATTTATGATCCTCCACAACAGCAACATTCAGTTTCTCATCCCTCCAGTTCCCTCCGGCTGCCTCACCTGCTGAGTTCACTTTCATTTAAGTACATTTCAGAGAAGAAGCATAGGACGGGAAAAAAAAAAAAACCCACAAATTAAAGAAGAGAGTTAGAAAGAAAAAAAAAATACCTTAAAGAGTTTTAATACTTTATGAATTCTGATACCTTTTTAAGAGTTTCAGATTTGAAGCTGCTGTGACAGGTTTTGGCTGTTTCACGCCTGTGTAAATATCCTGCTCTTTCCTATTTTGCAGATTTATTACTTGTAAATAGACACGCATCAAGGAGAGATTAAACATGTTTTTTGCTAAATCTGTCTCGTCTGATGTTTTTATTCCCATTTCCCATCCCTATACATACCCTGTGGATTTGAAAGTTGTAGCAAGTTTCCGGTAAATCTAAGTGCATGTCACCACAAGAGAACTTTAGAACGATCAAAAGCAGCCCATGTGAGGCTTAAATATCATTGTACTTTATTCATTCCTGTAAAACTGCTTCTGTTTGATTTCCCTTCTTCTAACCAGTGAAGTTGATGTGGACATTGACAAAGAAAAGAAAGAAAAAGATAATAAAACCCTACTTTTAAGACTGAACTGTCAGAAATGTCTTCATGAAGCGAGACAGGTAGACGCAAAGCTCAGTCTCAAGAGTACAATCACTCATCCGTATCCACTGAATTCCTGATCCATGTCAAAAGACTGAAATTGTCCCAGTGAGTGCCAGACCATGCAGCGAATCCTTAAATCACAGTCAGGTATGAGTGCTACGTAGCAGTAATGAAGGCAGTGTGATAGAAAATGTGCTTCAGACTGAACCTGTTCCATTTTGTGATGTATTTCGAAAAGTTTAGGAAAATACAGCAAGATGGAAGAGGGTTGATGATAAAAAAATACATAAAAGATGTTGGTATATTACCCTGTAGTCTACTTTTGTGGACTGTCTAAAATCAGATTTAATTGCAACGTCAATTCCATAACGCAATTTTCATAGCTACA